AAGTTTGCTTCCAAAACTGATTCTGAAACCAGAAATGAGAACCAAAAAAAAGTTGGTTTTTCATTTCTGGAACAAAAGTGAGAACCATTTATGAGGAATTCATTTTCTTCAACACACATATTCATATGGAAGTCACAATCTTTGAGGTGAGAAAAAAAAGCAAAAAATCAAAAATTTCAAAACTTAACAGAATGGTTTAGAATCTGTGGCTACCCACTTTCAGTGAAATTTAAATTTTTTTAGGTACCGAAAAAAATAAAAATAAAAAATAAAAAATTTCACAAAATGGCTTAGAAAACCTATGGCCACCCACTTTGAGCAAAATTTAATTTTTTTAGTTGCCAAAAAAAATAAAAAATTCTAAAATTTAAAAACTTCACAGAATATCTTAGAATACCTGTAGCCACCCAATTTGAGCGAAATTTTATTTTTTTAGGTGCCGAAAAAAATAAAAAAATAAAAAGCAAAAAATAAAAATTTCAAAACTTCACAGAATGGCTTGGAATACTTGTGGCCATCCACTTTGAGTGAAATTTAAATTTTTAAGGTGCCGAAAAAAAAAAAAAAATAAAAATTTCAAAACTTCACAGAATAGCTTAAAATACCCGCATGGTCACCCACTTTGAGTGAAATTTAAATTTTTTATATGCCAAAAAAATAAAAATAAGAAAAAAAGTAAAAATTTCAAAACTTTACAAAATGGCTTAAAATACCTGTGGCCACCCACTTTGAGCGGAATTTTATTTTTTTAGGTGCCGAAAAAAATTAAAAAAAAAAGAAAAAAAGAAAAAATTTCAAAACTTCACAAAATGGCTTAGAATACCTATGGCCATTCACTTTAAGTGAAATTTAAATTTTTTTAGGTGCCGAAAAAAATAAAAAATAAATAAAAAATAAAAAACTTCACAAAATTGCTTAGAATACCTATGGCCACCCACTTTGAGTGAAATTTAATTTTTTTTAGGTGTCGAAAAAAAAATAAAAATAAGCAAAAAAGAAAAATTTTCAAAACTTCACAGAGTGGCTTAGAATACATGTGGCCATCCACTTTGAGTGAAATTTAATTTTCTTTAAGAACCAAAAAAAATAAAATAAAAAATAAAAAATACCATTTGGGCATCTAAAAAAAATTAAATTTTACTCAAAGTGGGTGGCTAGAGGTATTGTAAGTCATTCTGTGAAGTTTTGAAATTTTTGATTTTTTATGTTTTTTTTCACCTAAAAAAATTTAAATTTCACTCAAAGTGGATGTCCACATGTATTCTAAGTCATTCTGTGAAGTTTTGAAATTTTTGATTTTTTGCTTTTTTTTCACCTCCAAAAATTAAAATTTCACTCAAAGTGAGTGGCCACAGGTATTCAAAGCCATTTTGTAAAGTTTTGAAATTTTTGAGATTTTGAATTTTTTTGGGCACCTTAAAAAATTTAAATTTCACTCAAAGTGGGTGGCCACATGTATTCTAAACTATTCTGTGAAGTTTTGAAATTTTTGATTTTTTGATTTTTTTTTGGGCACCTAAAAAAATTTAAATTTCACTAAAAGTGGGTGACCACAGGTATTCTAAGCAATTCTGTGAAGTTTTGAAATTTTTGATTTCTTGATTTTTTTTTTGAAAAAATTCAACAAATTTCCTATTTTCCCGAAATCTAAATTTTTTTTATTTTCTCGACATTTTGATGATTTTTTCTGGAATTTTTCAATTTTTTGGGATTTTCTGAATTCTTTTAAAGATTTTTATGAATTTTTCGGATTTTTTATTCCATTTCTAAAAAAATGGATTTTTGTTCCTGGAAATAGAATTTTCTGTTGTTTATCAAACGGGTTTTTATTTCAGGAAATAGAAATTTTGTGCTGTTATCAAACGGGTTTCTGTTCTAGAAATAGAAATTTTTTGTCATTATCAAACGGGTTTTTTTTCTCAGAAACTCATCCAGGAACCAGAAATAGAAAAATCTATTTCTGGTTCAGGAACTCATTCCGGAACAGAATGGTTATCATTCGCTACCTAACTATCCAATCCGCGGCTTTATTAAGGTCTATGGAACAGTGGGCCAGTCGAAGAGAAGGAAAAAAAGGAAAAGCAAGGCCCGGCCCTCCACGAAAAGTGCAATTCCATCCCACGGTACTTGATCGTCACCCAAAACAAGCTGAACTGAAGAAGTCTTGCTATCAGACTCCACCCATAAGACTTTTCCTCCCTTTCTGTTCTCCCACTCGTGCTCAAAAGGGCCATAAATTATATCTAGATGAGCTAAGTTGGTTAGGTTCGAAACAATTAACAATGATGAAGACGAAAACACACTAACCTTGTTAAACTCGCAGGAGCTCTGTCAACCGTTAAAGCTTATCACAAGCCCTAAAAGAAGTTCTTGCAGGTTGGCACTATTGGGTCGACGCAGCCGAGACCAAAAACTTCATGGGAGAGAAATCACCAAGAGAGAGTTTAACTCCTTACTCTTCAATAAATTATGGGCCAATTAAGATAATTAACTGTTCCATACTACACCAATTTTTCAATAAGGAAATTTATGACACAATTCTCACATGTGAAGTCTTGCTATCAGACTCCACCCATAAGACTTTTCCTCCCTTTGTTCTCCCACTCGTGCTTAAGAGCGCCATAAATTATATCTAGATGAACTAAGTTGGTTAGGTTCGAAACAATTAACAATGACGAAGACGAAAACACACTAACCTTGTTAAACTCGCAGAAGCTCTGCCAACCATTAAAGCTTATCACAAGCCCTAAAAGAAGTTCTTGCAGGTTATGGAAAAGCTGACCTATGGTTGTTGGCACTGTTGGGTCGATGCAGCCAAGGCCAAAAACCTTCATGGGAGAGAAATCACCGAGAGAGAGTTTGACTCCTTGCTCTTCAATAAATTATGGGCCAATTAGGATAATTAACTGTTTCATACCATACCAATTCTCCAATATGGGAATTTATGACACAATTCACACATGTGAAATATTGTGCAAACATTATTACCCATTCAAAAAGTTTAAGCGGTAAGATTAAGGCATGATTTAATAGTCGAATATTTTAACACTCCCTCCTACGCATAAGCTGGACTTTAGCCTAAGACTATAGTGTGGAAATATGTAATAGGTGGGGAAATAGTGGTTTAAAAAGATTTGAACATAAGATCTCATCTGATGCCACTATCAACTGTTCCAAAAGCTTGGACCTTCTACTCTAATAATACTATATAAAACATCTTGCGTTTTGCTTTTGGAAGGCAATGATTCCCTGAGATCTTGAATAATATCTTAGCACGATTAGCACGAAATACTGAATCAATCTTTCTAGGCAATGCGAAATTTTGTAAAACCACTATCAATTGTTATTAAGCCGTTAGATGAAGTCAAAATTTAATATTTAACTATTATGGTGCATCTCAACAATTTCCCCGTCATTTGAGCTTGTCAATATATTCAGTTGGATCAACATTCGCTTAAAAGTTTAAGCCAATGAATTATGTGCCAACTAAAAAATCAATTGCTCTACATCACACTATACCAATTTTTCGATGCGAGACTGCACGTACGTCTCAATAGGCACTATCGTAACCTTGCTACGTGATAGGTCTATTAGGAAGAAACAGGAGCAGTGGACCGATTACCCATTTCAGAGGTGGAGCTGTGGTTAGGATTTTAGGAAATTTTTCGGGCAACTCAAAGGGGAGAATATAACACGGCCAATTGTACAAGCTAAAGTTAGAGGTTTTTTAGGGTATTAGGCCTATAGATGGGTATGTTGATTGTGCATAGATCACAAAAGTCGATCCTCGAGTACAAGAATGTCTCCGAATGTATATGAATTTGTTTACAAGATGGTAAATTTCGCTAATCTTCAGTCTTTTTGTACTGATTCACAATGTATGTACGGAGAAAATATTAGGTGAGTTGAACACTCCATGTAAGCTATACAACACACCATTCGGCTGATGACACGTGGTGGACAGGGCCTACCGGTCAGATTTTGTAGTCCCCCGTTACTCCACTTTCAGATCTTCTCTCTCCTTTGTTACTCTCTTTCTTCTTTCACTGTTTTCTTCTGTTTCTTTTTGTGTTTCGAGACCATGGACAACGCTCGCGCTTGAATTGCAGTGTCACCAGCCAACCATTGACGATCGCTCACGAGCACGCCGACGCTCATCCATGGCCGTTGTCGGCGTCGTTCGGGCATGCTATTGACCCCCTTGGGTATCCATCTTTCCCATCCACCATGGACGACGCTCGCGGCCAGCCATGGACGACGCTCATCCATGTCCATGGTCGTCGTTGGCATCGAGCAACGCCGGACGGGACGGCTCGATCTGGAAGTTTGGCTAGATCTGGAGCCATGGCTGCTTGTCACTCGCGGCCACAATGCAGAGATTATGGCCCCAAAAATAAAAGAAGAAACAAAAATGAAGCTCTGCTTCTGCATTGTGGGTCCATAATGGCGGTGGTGTGCTTCTGGTATGTGTACCAGAAGAAGAAGAAGATGGTGAAAAGTGGGTGAGACGGAGAGGATAACGGCGGGGAGATAATGTGCAGGGAGAGAAATAACGGAGAAGAGAGAGAGACAGATGGGAGAGAGTAAAGGTTTATAGCGGGACCCACCTTGCCACGTGACATTTATTGGATAGAGTGCTGTATCATTGGCATATTCAACTCACCTAATATTTTCTCGTACGAGAGGTAGCCAACATATTTTGATCACGTCACTTGATAGGGAAAATCTCACTTACAAAGAATCGCAGCTACATGGGACTGCCAAAATATGGGTCCTAGGCTAAACGTCAAAATGGCTCTGACATGCTCAAAGGCTCCGGCACCATCTTTTTCAAGAAAATCATTTGAGGGGTTTCCATGTGGCAAGTTGGAGAGACAGGAAGGATCCAAAATTTGTTCATTTCGTTGCCACCAAACAGAACATCCTCTATGGTTGTCTCATGGAATGTCATCGAATTCCATAGGAATAACGGTACAGAAAGAAGCATCCCTTCACTAGCTTACATTTTTATATTCATACTGAAGGTTCTTGTTACAAAAAGGTCTCCAACACCTTGTGCTGTATAAACGAGCATCCTCCAGAGAGATTCATCACCAGCAAAAGAAAAGTTGCTACAGAACCAAGTACAGCAAGCAAGACACCGAGATTTCTAACTTGCCCGCGTTTCGTCTGAGAAACAGGCTCCCTCTTCTTCTCCCAAAATGGCCTCGATTCTCTTCCTTGCCTTCTCGCTCTTCCTCCAAGGAGCTCTGGGCATAACCCGTGGTTCATCTTTGCCACAGTGCAACTGTGACAAGCTTTTTGATCTCTCAACTGATCCGTCTTTTTTTCCTTACGTTTTTCGTTGTCAGGTGACATTGTATGCGAGCAGTTGCCTGCAGAACTCTGTTCATTCTCGATTGCGTCTAATGGAAGGAGGTGCGTCTTGGAGAACTACGTGAGCCCGACGGATGGGAAGATGGAATACGAATGCAAGACCTCTCAGGTGGCTGTGGATATCATGCACGAGTGGATTGAGACCGATGATTGCATCCATGCATGTGGAGTGGATAGGGAGTCTGTTGGCATATCTTCAGATGCTCTACTTCAGCCTCACTTCACTGCCAAGCTCTGCTCGCCGGCATGTTACTACAACTGCCCCAACATTGTTGATCTTTACTTCAACTTGGCCCTTGCAGAAGGTAATTCCAGACCGCGAATCAACCCGTGTCATCTGCTTCGAAGCAACATTGTCCTCTCAAATCTTCACTATCATTGACTTTGCCATCGATTTTTAACAGGTGTCTATTTGTCGGATCTCTGTAAGGTGCAACTGAGCAACCCGAAGCGGGTCATGAGAGAGGTACGAAGTTCCGGCGCAGCATCCGGTCCCATGGGTGCCGCACCTATGGGGAGTCTTTCTGGTGAATACTATGAGATTGGATATGCCCCCGCTGAAGCACCCATGAATTACTAGGGGTCATACTTGCAAATGTCTGTGTTTGCGGTTGTATCTGTCAAATTGCTTCAGCTTGTGATGGGCACGCCATGTATTTGCCTACAGATATGAGAATTGCAAGGTGCTATGCTCACCTAAAACTTGTGTGGTATTGTCCTATTCTGGCAAATGAAGGAAGAACACTGTACGGTATTTGCCAAGTACAGGTTTCGCCAAAGCAGTGACATTATCATTATACGTTTAATTATTCGTAAACCAAACTAAAGTTCAGACATCAAATTTGAAAAATAATTAAGAAATTTGCAATCAAGAGATTGACCCCAAAACACACGTCTTAATCGTAGGCCTCCCATCATCCTCCTGATAATCCTCATATTTCTCTATTAACTCCTGGGTGGTTGCCACTTGCCACCCTGTAATTGCTGTGAAAACTCTCGCTCCACCGTTGGGTCTAACTCCAATTATATATAATTCGACTTCTTCAGCAAGCAAGAATTTGCTTAATCATCGAAATGCATGGAGATGCACAGTATTTGCTATTCGTGTTTTGTTTTCTGAAAATTGTGCCCAATTTGGTTTCGGAAAAAACAAAGGGTTAATACCATATAAAATCCTAAACTTTTTGTAGTGTCACTAAAAACCCTAAACTTGCCCATTATGATTATTTTATGTTATAAAAAAACCTTAAACTTATACCGGTGTGACAAATATACCCTAAATGAAAATATAACGAAGGATATATATGTCACGCATGTATAAGTTCATATTTTTTTGTAACATAAAGAAAATTGAGGGTATTTGTGTCTCAGTAGGCAAGTTTGGGGTCATTAGTAACACAAAAAAAAGTTGGGGTATTTGTGTTACAATAAACATAATTTGTGGGTTTTGGTGATATGTGCCCCAAAAAACATAAGGCCTAATTAGAAAAATTGGAGGAAAATGGAGCAAGTATTTGGGTTGCATCTATCTAAATTTCATAAACCCAGATATGGATCCATCATAAAAATTAAGTTTGCATGCTTTACTTATCAAAGTGTTATCTCATATCTCACAAATGTGACATTTCGATGGGTTATGACTACCTGTAGTTTCACTTTACATAATGATTGATTAGGCTTTTTGATCATATCGAAGCCAAATTTCATATCTTACACATGAGAATGAGAAGGCTGTAAAAGTGTTAATAGCGTCGTTTGATTATGAGATTTGTTACATTATTTTAATTTTGTTTCAAAGATAAACTTTTGCATTCCTAGCTATACCGCTATTAAAATTCTTGAAAAAATTGTGCAATTTTTCTTTAAATAATACTGCCACGTGAAATTTGAGCAATAGAAATTTGCGTGTGCTTTGGAATAAAAAGGTCAAGAGCAATTTCTCTATTAAAAATTGACAACTCTGAACATGAGTTGACCTCTCCGGAAGCAAGTTTGAAGTAGGCAACATAAAAATTTCATAAAAAGTACGCAACAGAGGTGTAAACAGCATTGGGAGTGGCAGAGGAGCCCCTTATGATAATGCTGCCACGGTCAAAGATCAGTATGGCAAGGACTTTTTTTCTGAAACAGAAAGTCATGCGGTTCATGTTCACAGACAATCATCAGAAATTGTTGGCAGCAACTTAAGCACCAGGAAAGCAAGTAAAGGAGTTGCGTTTAATCCCATTGCTAGCAACGCTTTGTATAGTCCCGAATTTCCCGATGTGGAAAATCAAGGACCGAAAGGTTACAGTTTTCCAAGGGACTTAAGATGTGTTTGGTAACCATTCTGTTCCCGAAAACAATTTCTATTCAGAAACGGTTTTTTTTTATTCTATTCTCAGAAATAATTTCTAAGCATTTGAAAGCGTTTGTTAATTGCCCGAAATTTCTATTCTTGGAATAGAAAAAGAACAGAAATCCGTTTGGTAATTGCATAAAATTTCTTTTTATTAACAATATTTTGAATTTTTTAATATTTCTTTCTCTTTTTTTCCTTTCTTTTTTTCTTTTCTTTTTTCCTTCTTCTCCTTCCCTGGCCCATGGCTAGGTCGCCGGTGCCGGCAACCGGCCAAGGCCAACGAGGGCTTTGCGGCCATCGCCGGCCATAGGAGAGGGTGAGAGCGGCTCGCAGCCTGGGCAAGGGTCCAGCGAGGGCCGCCCAGGCCATGAGGGTCCAGCCCTCGCCGGCCCTGACCCGTGGCCGGTCGCCGGCCACATGCCAAGAAAGAAGAAGAAGAAGAAAAAATTCTTTTCCATTTTTTACTATTGTTCTCATAATCAAGAATCAATTTTTTTTTATATATTCCAAAACTTATTCTGAGAACAAATTTGTGCTCGGGAACAAAAAATTTACCAAACGGATTTTTGTTCTTTTTTATCCCTCAGAAAAAAAGGATAGAATCAAGTACTGTTTGGCGAGTTACCAAAAAGGCCCTTAGCTGTCCCTCTTCCATCATAAGAGCGGCATAAGTTGAACAGAGTTCTTACTATTGTGCAACAAAGGTAATCTACAGCAAAAACAGACATGGAAGATACCATAGCCAGACTGAATCAAGAGACTGCTGCGAGACAATACTTAATAACAAAAGTATGCTCTCTTCTCTTGGAGAATTTGTCGATTCTTGTATCTACTCGTCATCTCCAATCAGGCGAAATGATTGCTGCCTGTTCACCATTTTGTATTTTGAGACGACAGTTTGTGATTTGAGCCCCTCCAGAATTTTAGCTCCTATGCAGCAAATTGTTGGTATTTGATTCCCCAGCTGGTCACTCCGAATTTCTCCCTGTAGTTTGAATATATGCCAGGAGTCATTTTGATAGTATCTGCAGGACTAATCAGATCTACTCAATGCATGAAAGGCGGTATGGATCCATTTAATGATACATCACATGTTTAGTCCTTGAAAGCTTGTGGTGTTCCAATCTGTTGTATTTTCTGTGGTGTTGAGCTTTTATATGGATACTCAATCTATTATGGATCGTTCTGGTTGTGATATCCCCATCTTGAGACCATTACATGGTTAAGAGGCTGTCATTACCTAGTGGCGTGTAGACTTTTCTGACTGCTGCTATATACTTGGGTTCGTTCATGTGTCATTGTTTTGGATGATGCAGCTAAATTCTTGAAGATTGTGTCTTGATGGTCAAAGATCCTGAAGTGGAACTTGAAACCATGAGAAAAATTGATGAAGATGCTGGCGATCATGTTCATTGACAATGCGGTGCGGAGCATGTTCCCAGCAGCACGAACTAAACAATTTGTACTGCCTATGTAACATTTACAAAAACAGCCCATCTTTCCCTCTCCACAACGCCAGCTCTACAATGGCTGACCAATACGGTTCAAGTGAACCAACAGCTGCAAAAAAAAAATCTCAGAAAATAAAGCTCTACGGCAAGCAATGTTGCACCCTCCTATCAACCTTACTCATCATTCACACAATCAAAGCTCCAATCAAGACAAGTATAACTAAAGTATGTCTTCTTCTTCGCTTGCATTCTCATAATTTCATTCTGGAAGTCATTGTTCAATTGACTCTCCACATTTTGCAGCCTTTCCTTCAATGTCTCATTATTATTCATCAATTGGCAAATCACTTATTTCTCTTGCATTGTCAGATCAGGATCGATCCATTCAAAAAACCCACAATCATCAACCTGTCAAAACAAAATAATTCTTTTTAACAGGTTAAGATACAACATTGTTCAAAATTGCTAAGTTATAGATAAGAAGTATTGCTTTACTTCTGATAAGTATGACTGCATCAAAATGTTATAAATTACTTACCCTCAATGTTGAAGAGCGAAAGAATCTCCTAGCAGGATTTCTTGGGGTCCACAAGGTATAGAGGGTTGCTCGTTTGATGCTTGCATGAAACGTTGCAATTGTCACTCATGAATTGACTCAGTGCTCCGCCGCCACGGTTAGAACTTCCATTCTGCATTGATTTACATTCAAAAATAGGAGCAAACCACTAATCTAAGGCCGACTCATCGCACAAATGCTTATGACAGAGTTGAACTTTGCAAAGGCCAGAGAAGGTGTATGAAATACGGCGTCCTCCAATGAACAATTCATACGGGTCTGGAAAATGTAGATCGGGCATCTTTTCCGGTGGACAACGTGGGCACTCCAATCTCTGCAGCTTCTCAAATTGTGATGAATTAGGCAACCATTCTAAGGAACTGCACCCGCGAATATGCAACACCTCTAATGATTTCAATTTCTCCAGACCTTGAGTCTCCTTTAGCCCAGGGCAATTAGTCACACTCAACTCTTGGAGCCCCTCTAATCTCGAAATTACAAGCCTCTCAAGCATTGCGTTTTCCGTCAAATCCAAACGACGGAGTTTCTCCGGTTGCTGTCCAAGCACATCATCCAATTTGACTTCCCTCAGCCGACAATTATGAAGGCACAAACTAGACAGATTTGTCAAGTTTAAAAAGAGTGACTTTTCCATGGGTGACTTCACATCATGTAGAGTCAATCCTTTAAGACCGGATGGAATCCCCACCAGAGATCGCGGGTCAACACAAGTTATCTCAAGAATTTGAAGCAAAGAAAGAGTAGCCAAATTAATCGGAGGAAATGTGACATCTCTAACGACAAGTGTCAACCTCTCAAGACAAGATAATCTTTCGATCCACTCTATATTTGGAGCTTCTTGTTTGAATTCTGACAACCTAGGAGTGCCACCCCGTATATGAAGATCAACTAAGTTAGTTAGGTATGAGAGGTCAAGGGCTGTCCACAATAAATGAGATGAGAAGTTTAACTCCTTCAAATTCACAGGGAGCTCTGGCAACTGTTCGAGTTCATCACACTGACCCAAATGAAGTTGTTGGAGATGAGAAAGCTTATTCATAGTTGTGGGCAATCTCCTAATCTTGCTCCTTGTTAGCTTTAGCTTCAGTAAAAAGGATAGACCCCCTATTTCATGTGGAATTTCTCCCTTTAGATTTTCACAGAAACTCGCATGCAAAACTTTAAGATTCTCTAGCATCCATGTAGCCTTTGGTAGCTCTCTAATCGCACTAAAGTCTAGACATAAAATCTCCAACAGTTTGAGGTTTCCAATAGAAGCAGGTAATTCTGTGATACAAGTTCTGCTCAAATCCAGCTCAAGCAAAGACTCCAGCCCTCCTATTTGGTTCGGTAGCTTCTTTATAGGAGCCTCACAAATACTCATCTTCCTCAACTTTTTAAGATTCCCAATGGTAGCAGGTAATTTTCTGATTTTTGTTCCACTCAAATATAGCTCAAGCAAAGACTCTAATCCTCCTATTGGGTTTGGTAGCTTCTTTATCGGAGTTTCAGAAAGGCTCATCGTCCTCAACATTTTAAGATCTCCGATGGAGTCTGGAAGTGTTCTAAGCAAAGAACAAGTATCTAAAGACAAATATTCTAGACACGTCATCTCTCCAATGGAATGATGAAGTTCTCGAACATGCATCCCCCTTATTTCTAGCATTGACAAGGATTTTAGACTGCCTAATACAGAAGGTACTGAAAAAAGGTCGCAACCATCCCTCTTTGGGGTATCATAAGAGATGATTTGCAAGAGCTTCAGGTTCTCTAGGTTAGAGAGAGAGCCATCAACCACGAGCAAGTTTGTACACTCATTAATAACCAATCTCTTCAAATTCGAGCATTTCGAAAAGTCGGGAGTCCTTTTTAAGCTCTGGCAAAAACGGATCTCTATGACTTTCAAGTTCTTGCTCACCTAAAAAAACATACCAAGAATAAGCCAAGTCAAGAATTGCAAATTGGTAAGTATGTTTAGCGAGACAAATGTGGGGAAAAGTAAACTGCATGGTATAATGTTTGTACCAGGCATGACGCCCATCCGGCCCAATCTTCAGTAATGTCACTATTACAAAGCTTGAGCACGGTTAACTTCTCGAGAAACAAATTCGTCGCATTTAATTCCGAAGGGCAACGATACCAAGAGAGCCATGTTAACTTGGAGAGAAGATTCTTAAAGTTCCCTACCAAGTTCCCGCCCTCCAATTCCAAGTATCTTAGATTGGGCAGCTTTGAAAAGTCTTCACTTGTAAAACTGTACTCTTCGTAGAGTCTTGTTAATCTGAGTGCTACGATTTTGTCTGTCCCCTGGTGATAGGAAAAGCATACGTGAACATTTGAATTGGATGACAAACATGGTGCTATACAAGTTTAAGGAGCTTGATTATGTTCAATAATGAAACACACATTGCTGCTTCGTTTGTACAGATCTAAATTGACCATAACAAAGAGTTAATCAAGTTAATCCGACTGGTTCATACAGCTGAAAAGAGTTTTTTACACTGTATAAAGCATAATAATATTTCTAATTCATCAGTTTAAGCGAATTCCTATCGCTATATTATAACAAAAAACTCTATTATCGCTGAGCAAAACCGCTTGATAGAAAATACTGCCTACATATTTATTTATTTTTGCAACACAAAAAACCTGCAATGGTTTTGCAATTTAGAAGAAGTTGCTGGGCCGAATTCCAAAAAGTCTCTTGAGTGTATAACCCCATTGCGACTCTTAAGGATCGAAACCTGCTTGGTATGGTCCGTATGGAAGCCTGCTTTACTCTAGAGCGTCCCTTTATTAGGTTTCATATGAGTTTTATGACAAGACGAAGATCAATGTACAAAAAATCCTACTTGTTTTGGGACTAGCTGTGGATTCTACAGGATAAAAGATCAATATACAAAAAGGATTTGTTTCAAAATAGTAAACCATATTCAACAAACCTTATAAAAGTATCTCGTATATTGTATGAAAGCTCTACCGGACTATACACAAAAGATTGCATATTACAATTAATCACTAATTCTATTACCAAATTTGAGGTTAAGGGTCTCATTGCAATGCAGAGTAACGTTGCTAATGATTCCCAACTTAGCAAAACGGAATAAAATCGGCCTTGAAAAGCTTTGATAGACTAGGAAGTCACAATATGGATCTGTTTTCATATAATTTGGGCAATAACTTTTGTATTTAAATGTATTCCCGAAGTATTTGCTATTAATTACTTTCATGTTGTAAATGTAACTTATCAACACCTTTTAAATATGATATGTAACATAATTAACATCATGAATTTTTACACAAATCTTTTCCTTATTTTCTTTGCCAAAAGAAAAATTAAACAAAAAAATATACCTGCAAGAAACTAACTCCACAACCATTGATAAATGCATGGTCGATTTTTTCCTAAAGAAAATAGTAAGGTGACAATAGCTTACCTCTTTCATCCGAACCACGTCAAAGGCAATCTTGGACTCCCACAACCTGCTACGCTTCCCTGGAAAATTGACGTCTTCGCGCTGAACAATTTCTCTTCCAAGATCTCTAAGTTGATCATGCATCCATAGTCTATCATCTTCTACTATCTTTATCAAAGACATACGAGTGAGGACAAGTAGTTCACTTTTTGGGAAATAGTTGGAAGCTTTCCACATATAGTATGGGTCGAGTCTTTCTCTTCCAATGAAGAAACATGCGATATCAAGAAAGATCTCTCTTTGACGATGCTCTAACATGTCATAACTAATCTTTAATTTATTGAAGACTTCTTGCTTCGGCACAGAATCTAACTTCTTCAATGTGTCTATCCAAAAGTTTTTGCTTTTGCAGCAAAGTGAGGAACCAATAACCTCGAGAGCTAATGGAAGTCCACCTGTCTTTATAATAATTTTGTGTGAGATATCATCAAAGTCATGTGGTGGCAAATCCTTCCTGAAGGCATGTTTGCTAAAAAACTGAAGAGCATGGAATGAATCCATTTCTGTCATTTCATAGATTTTAAACTCTTCAGAATGTGCTTGGAAACTATTCTCTTCATCCTCCTCTTTGATTGGCAAAAAGTTGATGTCCCTTGTTGTAATGATGATTTTGCTTCCTGGACCAAACCAATCGCTCTTTCCTGCTAGTTTAGAGAGTTGATCCCACTTATCCACGTCATCAAGAACAAGAAGAACTTTCTTATCACGAAACCTTTCTCTTATTATTTTAATCCCTACATCAACATAATTGTGGATCTCTAGAGATCTGACTTGGAGAATTTCTGATAACAACTGTTTTTGTAAGTCAATAATTCTACCATGTTGCGCAGATTCGCGAATGTCCGAAAGGAAGCTACAACCTTGAAATTGATTGGAGATTTGATTAAAGACAGCACTTGCGAGGGTTGTCTTACCGATACCACCCATTCCATGGATGATCAGGTAGCGAACATCACGAGAACCTTCGTTTAACATGTCCATGATAGCTTCAACACGATCATGGATCCCGACTAAATGATCAGGTAGATTTCTGCTTCTTTTCATCAGCTTGGTCAAAATCTCATCAACAATAGTTTTGATGATTTCACCATGGCTGCCATATTGACATAAGAATCTTAGCGTGAAACACATGGCAAATGAACTCTTGAGTTGAGGAATATTGTAGACACAAAACTAGTCGGATTTTTGAATGAGCTAGGTTTTACCGAATGAAAGCTCACTTTCTTTAGTAAATGGAAATCTCGACTAATGAAAGAATTAGATCAATACTATATTTGGACGACTGGTTCAGGAATAGAAGATAATAATTACAAGGAAAAAAGAGAAAGAAAGATGGATTAACCAATATACTGTGATTGGTAGGAGTAATTAAAACACGAAAAAAAAAATGGGAGAAAATTCTATTCCTTCTGATCATCTCACTTTTTATTGCTAGGGAAAAATAAATAAGCGAAAGCAGATTCCAAACTCACGCTCTTACCCTTTGTCCTTCGTGCCCCATCCCCTGATTCTTGCGACCTCGGTCAGAGCCTCTTTCCATTGTAGAACTTCATCACACTTGAACTTCTCCTCATGCTTCTCCAGAGCGTCGAGGTACAATCGAGTTTTGAGTTTCACATCGTGGGGATTCACATCACAAAAAATGGGTAGGATCACTTTGTCATTTGCTTTGCTCGAGCACTCCACCATGTGGGTGAGCTCACGAAGACACCACACACTAGATGCATAGTTCCTAGAGAAGATGGGCACATATATTTTGGAGGATTCGATGGCACGCAGAAGCTCGCCTCCAATCTTTTCGCCCTTTCGGATCTCTTCGTCATCTCTGAAGATGCGAATCCCACCTCCGACCAGGGAGTGGTAGAGACAATCGGTGAAGTTGAGGTGGGTGTCGGGGCCTCTGAAACTCAAGGACACCTCGAATTCGGCCCCCGACAACGAATCGCCGTCATCGACACAAGCGGACGTCGTCGCTGCATCTGGAGAGTCCTTCTTTCTCTTCATCCTCCTTCGGGAGCTCAAGATCTTCACCGGATCAGATCACAGCGAGATGTGGAGTCCTTTCTGAATATGATCTGGGATTCCTCAAGAGGAAGTAGCAGAGCGCCAAGAGGCGGGAGAATTGCGATGCGCTCTCGCTGTCTTTTAAAAATCTGATCTTCATCGGGTTTGCATTTGTCTTGGCGCCGAAAGGGAATAGGCAACCTCTTTTTTTGGACTAGCAAAAAAAGTAAAGCCAATGAAAGTCCTCCAAAGTGGCGGCGGGGTCTACCTTTACCACGATATTTGAAAGCTTGCTGGTGCCATTGTGCTGGCAATAAATGAGGTTGCTTTACACTGTTCCTTCTTGTGCGAAAGTACTTCATATCCAGAAGTAGTAGTTCAAAATGTACGTAGTGTTTATCGTAGTGTATATTATACCTTAGGAAATCAATCGGTTCTAGGGTTGCATGATTTTTGTCTTTCAAAGCTTAATTCCGTAAAAAAATCCCAAACTTTAGATCAAGTCCTAAATCTGCCCCGAACTTTTTTTTATCTCAAAAAAACCCCCCCAAACTTTAAGTCCAGTCCTAAATCTGTCTCGAACTTTTTATCCCAAATTTTAGATCCAATCCCAAATCTGTCCCAAACTTTTTTTTGTCTCTGAAAAAATCTCAAACTTTAGGTCCAGTGCAAAATCTGCCCCGAATTTTGTTTTATGTAAAAAAAATCAGCAAATTTCAATTTATTTTAAAATATATACATCCGTGATCCAATCCCAACTTGACGTGGTACTTCCACGTCAATAACAAATCCACATCAACAAAATAATGGGGCTTTTTCTTAGGCAAAGAAAAGTTCAAAGCAAATTTTTGGACTAAACCTAAAAATTAGGTTTTTTTTAAAGTAATGGGGCTTTCTTTAGGGTAGCTGAAATCAATTGGCAGTGTATTCGATGATTCCATTTCCGACTTTGGCAAAAAAAAAGGAAAAAGAAAACAGATGATTCCAATTTCCTACAAGCCTACAATCTGAATTAGATCTGGGCATTCAGTCAATAACACCCATTGGTGCTGCTGTGAACATGAAATGATTGATCGGAAAGTCTCCCAAGCAAATGGAAAAAAGTTCTGCCTTGCCTCGTCGTAAATCCGGAAAGGGCCGTCGAAGTCATGTAACCTCTGGCAAACGAAAACTTCAAGATGACAAGATGATGACGCGTTAAGTACATCAGGCAAACTTTTTAGCGATGTACAAGAATAAAAACTCAATTCCTTTAGCTTTTGTGAATTTGATAGGTTATGTATACTTTTGCACATAATGATTATCAGATTATCAAATTATGTCTCGAGTTTGATCCGTGTACAAAACCCGACTCGTTTGGAGTATTTTATTTTGTTCAATTAATCTGGAGGAGGGGCACACTTCTTGGATATATACAAAAGAAGGAAAAATACTCTACCCATACACCACAAGACAAAAGAATGCACTACAAGACAAAGGGGGGCCCACGTTCCTTTATGCTTGGGGTTGGTGTTCTTTGTTCAGAGAAAAGGAAAGAAAAACAAAAAGGAAATTATATTTGAACCCTAGTTTTTAGTCCCTCTCGCCTATTGTTGCCGCCAGTGTGTTTAGTTAAAAGAACGGTTAATATTACGAAAAATTTTAAATTAGTATATATAATAAATTTAACTTAAATTAATTTTTTAATCACGAAAAATCTTAAATTGATACATATATGATAAATTTACCTTAAATTAATATTTTGACTACCTTAAATTAATATTTTGACACCCAAAAATCACAAACCGGTACATTTGTGATAAATTTATTATTTGTTAGTTTCAATTAAATTAGATTAATATCACAAAAAATCACAAACTTATACACGTGACAAATGGAGGCTAACTGGTGCACCCGTCAACTACCATGTATGATCCAACTCAACAATTTGATGATAAAATTTAACACAAACTCACGAAGAGTAAATTTATCACGGGTGTACTAGTTTGGGAATTTTGGTGATCAAAAAATTAGTTTTTGGTAAATTTGTCATAAGTATAACAGTTTGAGATTTTCGTGGTATTAACCCTAAAAAGAAATGGGAGCATAGTAGCCGCAAGAGCACAAGGAGCCGTACAAAGAACAAAGGATGATGTGAGTTCTCTCCAAGAAGCTCGGGCCACGCACAATGTTCTTGGTTCTTGGTCGCACGGACATGAACACATGGATTTGTACAGGGAGTTTTACTTCCATTTGAATTGTTTATTTATAAACAGTTGGGTTTTGATTTAATTTAGGTATGGAAAATACTCGAGCGTGTGAGTGAGCGATTGTAAACTTTAACTCTCCGATTATCAGTGAATTATTTACTGTCGGCACTCCCTGTTGATATAGGTACCGATACATCGGACCAAACTACATAAATCTTGGATGTCATTTATCGTTCATCGCTAATTTCTCTAGTGATTTCGCATTGACTTAATTTGTAAGATCCGGTTTAGCTTTCGCGTTCGTTAATATTACCACAATGACAATCCTCAATTGATAACTTTTTCAAAGGATTCCAGTCCTGTAAGCCCTGAATCTCAATTAGCTCCGAGCATTTGATCAAAACTAACCATCGGAGCTGCATCAACCACGATAACTTGGAAAGCCTCACGATCAATTTGCAAAGGGGCACATAGGAGTAATGGAGGTTCTCTAGCTATCCTAGCACATCAAACTCGATCAATGTTAGCAAATACCGTCGGAGCACGAAAGGGGACAATTTTTTCAACTTGGAAAGGAGAGGCCACTCTAATGGTGACTCCACATCTACCAAAGTCAAATCTTCAAGACTGGATGGAAGTCGCATCAAAGATCGCGAGCAGACACAAGTTATTTTGAGTTCTTGGAGTCAAGCACGAGAACCCAAATCAGTCGGAGGCAAGATAGGCTGCGCATGGCAACTTGCCAAATAGTATTTGATTATGTTCTTTTGTTCCCAAAATCAGTTTGTGAATAGAAATCCGTTTGTTTAATTTTTTGATTATGGGCACAAATTCTTGCAAATTTGTGTCCAGAATCAGTTTTGGAGCAGAATCAAGAATAAAAAAAAAGTAGCTTCTTGATTCTGGGAACAAAAATGAGAATCAGTTTTTTTTTCTTCTTCTTTTTCTTGTTTTTTATAATAGAAAATAATGTCCGGCGCGAGGGCCACCCTCACCGTATTTGGCGAGATTAAAATATTTTAATAAAAAAATATTATTAATAAAAAAATTGAACCGGCCATAGCCAGCGACCAAGCCATGGCGAAAAAAATAAAAAAATATTATTAATAAAAAAAATTTACCTGCCATGGCCAATGACCAAGCCATGGTGAAAAAAATATAAAAAAATAATTTCAATAAAAATATTTTTTATTAAAATATTATTAATAAAAAAATTATTTATAAAAAAAATTTTTACCGGCCATGGCCAGCGACCAGGCCATGGCAAAAGAATATAAAAAAATAATTTCAATAAAAATATTTTTTTATTAAAATATTATTAATAAAAAAATATTTATAAAAAAAATATTTTACCGGCCATGGCCAGCGACCAGGCCATGGCGAAAAAAAAATAAAAAAATATTTTCAAAAAAAATATTTTTTAGCAAAATATTTTTTAAAAAAATTATTAATAAAAAAAATTTTATAAGAAAATTTTTACCAACCATGGCCAAAAAAAATAAAAAAATTATTTTTAATAAAAGTATTATTAATTAAAAAATATTTTACCGGCCATGGCCAAGAAGGAGGAGAAGAAAAAAAGAAAAGAAAGAAATATTAAAATATTTAAAATGTTATTAAAATATTATTAATAAAAAGAAATTTTATGCCGTTACCAAACGCATTTATGTTCTTTTACTATTTCAGGAATAGAAATTTTGGGCCGTTACCAAACGCCTTCAAATGCTCAGAATTAGTTCCCGAGCACAGAATAAAAAAGAATCATTTCTGACCAGAATCTGCTCCCGAGCACAGAATAAAAAAGAATCATTTCTGACCAGAATCTGTTCCCGGGCACAAAATGGTTGCCATGCGCAGCCATAATATCTTCAACTAGTGACAATATCCTCAGTTCAAATAACCTCCCTAGCCATCCACCCTCTGGAATTTGAACTCGTCTAATTTTGTAGAACCTGAAAGTGCCATAAATTATCTCTAGATAAACTAAGTTGGTTAGGTTCAAAGCAATAAAAAATTATGAAGACGAAAACACACTAACCTTGTTAAACTCGCAAGAAGCTCTGCCAACTGTTAAAGCTCATCGCAAGTCCTAAAAGAAGTTCTTGCGGGTTATGGAAAGTTGACCATATGGAAAGTTGACCTATGGATGTTGGCACTATTGGGTCGATGCAGCCGAGGCTAAAAACCTTCGTAGGAGAGAGATCACCAAAAGGGAGTCTAAACTCATTGCCCTTCCATATATCCAGTTGCAACTACATTTTCATAAAAAAATTAAGCCAATGAATAGAGGCCAATTAGAATTTTTAATTGCTCTATACCATACCAAATTCTCCTATATGAGAATTTATAACACAACTCTCACGTGTAAAATATTGTAGGAACACTACTAACTGTTCAGAAAGCTTAAACTGTTATATAACAATGTGATATAATATTTGAATATTAAAATACCCTCTATTACGCATAGATTGGACTTTACCATAAGACTAAAGCGTGAAAATATGTAATAAATGAGGAAGGGGCTTCGAAAGATATCAACTCAAGACCTCATCTCATATCACTAACAACTGTTACAAAAGCTCAAACATTTTGCTCTAATACCGTATAAGATAACTTGCTTTTACTGTTGGAACCATTAACAGTCCCACGAGATCTTACATAATATCAAAGCATGAGATATTAAGTTCAAATCTTTTTGGGACACGTGAAATTTTGCAGAACCATTGTCAATAGTTTTAAAAGGAGAAAATTGTCCAAATTTTGTTTTAATATATTGCACTTTTGCCAATTTAGTTCTAAACCTTTCGATTTTGTCAATTTAATCATAAACATTTTCACACTTTACCAATTGAGTCCATAAGGTAAATTTTGGTCAAAAATTGCTAACGTAGATGCTGGGCGTCCTACATGACACGGCCAGCACTGACGTGAACAAATTTTAATATTTTTTCGAATTTTTTATTAATTTTTATTTTCTTCTCTTTTTCTTTTTTTCCTTTTCTCTTCTTTTTTTATTTTCTTTTTTATTTTTTCCCTCCACCGGCCACTGTCAGGCCTCGTCGATGGCTAGCAACCTCTACCGGCCTTAGGCAAGGGCTGCCCTCGCTGGCCTCAAGCAAGGGTCCTCGCCGACCCAAGCCTGGGCATCCCTTGCCAAGGCCGGCGGACCCCATGGTGGCTGGCAGAGGGAAAAAGGGAAGAAGAAAGAAGAAAAAAAGAGAAAAGGAAAAAAAGAAAAATAATTAAAAAATTGAAATTTTTTAAATATTATTAAAAATTGTCCACGTTAACACCGGCCGTCCTACGTGGCATGATCGACGTCCACGTCAGCGATTTCGGCCAAAATTAGCTGGATGGACTCAATTGGCAAAACGTGAAAATATTTATGACTCAATTAGCAAAATTGATCGACAAACAAAAATTAGCAAATTGAAAGGTTTATGACTGAATTGGAAAAAGTGCAATAGGTTTATGACTTTTTGGATAATTTTTAAATTTTAAAAGTTTAAGCTGTTAAATGAATTCATGATTTAATATTTATATATTACGGTGCATCTTAACAATCTCCTCCTTGCATGAGCCTAAACCAATTTTTATTCAAAAGCTTAAGTCAATGAGTTATGAGCCAACTGAATATATCAACTGCTCTATACAACACTACGCCGATTCTCCGATGCGAAACTTTTATAACACAACTTGCACGTACATCTCAATAGGCACTGTTGTTATCTTGCTACGTGATAGGTCTATTAGGAAGAACTGGGAGCGGTGGACCGATTATCCATTTCAAAGGTGGTGCTGTGGTCAACAGTTACCAATGATGAAGACGAAAACACACTAACCTTGTTAAACTCGCAGGAAGCTCTACCAACTGTTAAAGCTATCACAAGCCCTAAAAGAAGTTATTGCAGATTATGGAAAGCTGATCTATGGTTGTTGGCACTGTTGGGTTGATGCAGCCGAGGCCAAATACCATCATAGGAGAGAGATCACCAAGAGAGAGTTTAACTCGTTTTCCTTCAATATATTCGGTTGCAACCAACATTACTTAAGAATTTAAATCAATGAATTATGCACTAATTAAGATCATTAACTATTCCATACCACGCCAATTTTCCTCTAAAGGAATTTATAACACAATTTAAATGTGTGAAATAATGTGGGAACACCGTCACTTATTCAAAAAGTTTAAACTATAGCAGGAATACATGATTTAATATTTGAATATTTTAACACTCCCTCTCACATGTAGGATGGACTTTAGCCTAAGACTAAAGTGTGGAAATATGTAATAGGTGAGGGAAATAGTGGCTTGAAAAGATTTAAACTCAAGACTTCATCTGATACTATTGCCAACTGTTCTAAAAACTTGAACCTTCTCTCTAATACCATACGAGATAATTTGCCTTTGCTTTTGCTTTTGCTTTTGCTTTTGAAACAGTTGGAGGTGGTCTTACGAAATCTTGCAGAATATCAAAGCATGAAGTACTGAATTCAAATCTTTCCACGCCATGTGAAATTTTGTAGGACCACTGTAATTTGTTCTAAAACTTTGTACTGTTAGATGAAATCATGGTTTAAAATTTAAATACTACAGTACATCTCAACAATTTCCCCATCACTCGATCTCGTCGATATATTCAGTTAGATCAATATTCACTAAAGCTTAAGCTATTAATGAATTATAGGCCAACTGAAAATATTAACTACTCCAAGCTACACTATATCAACTTTCCAACGGGAGACTTTTCCAATACAATTCGTACGTACAACTCAATAGGCACTATCGTAACCTTGCTAGATGATGGGTCTATTAGGAAGAACCCGGAAAGGTGGGCTGATCATCCGTTTCAAAGGTGGAGCTGTTGTTAGGATTTTTGGAAATTTTTCAGGGAACTCGAAGAAGGGGAGAACGACAAGGCCAATTGTACAAGGTTAAAAACACCGGCAAGGAATATCCCTTCCGACGCGGTGGACAGCGAGGATGGCGCCGACAACGAACCTAATTTCTTGCTTCTTCTTTTTTGCGGTCGGAGCCTAATTTCTTGTGGAAACGGGACGTTTTCGGGCATCACAGTGCTTCGTCAAAATGACACTAATTGCATTCCATTTCAAGAGCGTTCTGATACATAACTCGTCCTTCTCCAACTACCAATTTTAGCCGTCATCTACCACAAACAACAAGGTCATTCAAGTGGGCGACAGTCCATCTAACCACCACAAAATCAATGATTGATTAATACCCAGGCGTCCTCAAGATGAAATAAAACAACTACACTCCCCAAATTTTACATGCAAGGCAAAAAAAATGAAAGCCAAAAAAAAATAAAAAAAATATAAAGGCAAACAGCGAAAATATCTTACTTTCCCTTTTTTTTTTTTTTGCTTTTGTAATTTCGCCAGGAATTTTAGCATACTTATATAAATCATAAAACCCCCTCTCTTCGATTTACACGACATGCAATAAAAAGCGAGAAAAATTGGAAAAAGCGAAAGAAAGAAAGAAAAAAATAAAAAAGAGAAAGCAAGCAGTGAAAAAAAAAACAGTTACTTTGGAATATTATTTTTCTTGTTGACTTGTTGACTGAGGTTCCGTTCGGGCTCTTTCCCTTTTGAACCGGAAGAGGAAAAGAAAAGCCGATGCCCCCATCAGAACCACCCCGGCGGCCCCACACGCTATGCTCGCCACCACCAGCACGTCCCTCACGCGATCCCTCCCCCCGCCGCCGCCGCCGCCGCTGCTGTGATGCGGCTGCCAGGAGCCGCTCGACTCCATCGGCCCCGTCATCGCGGTGTCCGTGGCCGGAGCGTAGGGTGAGGACGAGGATGGCGGTGGAGGAGGCAATGCTGATGCTGATGTCCCGAAGAATGAGGTCATGTCCGGCGACGGGTTCACTCCTGAGGGCGGCGAGCTCTGGTACTCCAGGCCGTGATCTGCTGGCCGGAGCTCTCTGGCTGTCGACGGCCCGGCGGCGGCCGAGAGCAGGATGAGAATGACGGTGAGCACGGTGGCTAGTAGGGATTTTCTTGAACCCACCATCTCTCTCTCTCTGAACAATGTGCGGAAGATACGCAAGTTCAGCGATGAAGCTAGAGCTACTGGAGTGCACTCTGTGACAAAGCAGTGAAGACCGAGGAGAATAAGAGTGATTATAAATCACTGTCCGAAGCATTGACGTTCTGACTTCACTTAAAACGGTGACGTCTCATGGGTAACTTGGCTTAACCTAGTTTGGTTTCCAAGTCTAATAATAACTTATGCGCATGTGAATAGCGGCTCGGTTAGAGCTAGGAGTGAACCGGTTCAAAACGGTTTTGATTTCAGGACCTTCTCGGTAGAACCGATCGGTTCTTGTTGTAAGATCGAGAATCAAGCCGGTCAAAGCCGATGCCCGGTTTCTGGAACTGGGAATCGGACTAGTCTCCGACCTAAAACTGGCCAGTTCAGGTTATGGAATTGAGAACGAGATCAATCAATGTCGGTTCCAAATTTCTAGAACCAAGAATTGAATCGGTCCTCGTCGAGCTAGCCTAAAACTGGCCAAATAAGTGAACCGGCCCAATTGTTCACCTAGAAACTCTCTTGATTGCCTTTGGATTCATAGATGAAATCACACATGACCCATAACCATCAGTTGTGTTAGCATTAACAACTGACCCAGTTTATATTTCTCCCGAAATGATTTATGATGCGCATGGAATCATTTTCCTTAGTCAAGATCGATAAGACGTACAAACCCACAGATGCTGCGCGATTATACATCAACCCCAGTTCCTATAATTGCATTAAGATTGATTCTACACAAGATTAAACTAATTCCGAGTCTCGAAAGCAAAACCCAAAAACTTTTAATACGTTGTTCACGCCGGGATTGGATGAATCAAGCTATAGCTGTGGCGTGCGCGTGACTCGTTGTCCGGTTGAACAACAATGGAAAAGTCAGTGGTCGCCGATGTTTCCTTTGTCCTTTTTGTGCATGTGAAACCAACCATGTTGTTTGGTTTCACCCGTTTACTCTCAGATGAACCCGTGAGGCCTCGGGCAAACAGTGAAAAGCTTGCTCCCCAATTCGTCAATTTCGAATATTTTTGTAGTCAAATTAATCGTATTCTATGTGGACTTTTCTAGGTTATTTTTCTGATGAAATTTGAAAGTTTAGCCTTGGGACATGGTGCAATCTCCTCGCGCAATTGTTGCGGGAGCTCATTGGCTATGGCTTAGCCAGAAAAAATGAATGGATGTTGCCCGGGATTCGAGGAGAAAGTGTTACACATACATGCATTCCTCGAACCACGTGACGTACGTGGGATTTTTTAAAAATTCACGCACAGCGATTAGGTAATGTAAAACAAGGTGCGACCACGTTGTGGAAAAGTGATTGGCTTGCTTCCTCATGTCAGTGATGCGACAAATGCATAAGATTACACAACCGACGCGATTCAACTGACCTATTTTAGCGGTGACTAAACTTGTTAAATGGGTGGATCGAGTCGGGTTTGGGTTGGGTCATAAATAGTCCGACCCAAATTGATCCATTAACCCGTTTATGATCCATTTATGCACAATGCAATTTTCTTGACTCATATTCAACCCGACCCGACCCATACCCAACCCATATCCGATTAGACCCGTATTGCTAAAACACTTTCATATTTAATTAAATATAGGAAAATTCATACCCAAACTGAAATGAGAGTGTGGAATGAGTAAGTGCAAGATTGAGTGAGGGCGAGAGAAATGCGTTAAATTTAAATCAGTTGTAAACTCATTTATGACCCATTTGCAACTCATTTACGACTCATTTAATACCAATAGAAGACTTCTACCCATTTATGACCCATTTACTAAATATAACTAACCCATTTATGACTCATTTACTAATATATAGGTTAAGAAATGGGTTTATGACCCATTTTGATAGGTCTAGCGGTGACCATATGCTCTTCCATCTTTGGCTTATAATTAGTGGCTAGGCATGTCAAAATGGGTTATAAATCCATTTTTTAACTCACATATGATATGTTAAGTTGCTATATGAGTTAGTTATATTCAATTGATGGGTCATACACACGGGTTTGAACATAATATCGGTGTTAAATGGATCATAAATGAGTTTACAACTTACTTAGATCCAATCCACTTCTTTGACCGTCTCTTCATTTTCTCTTGCCCTTATTCAATTTCGCGCTCACTTGTTCCGCGCTCTCACCTCAATTTGAATATGAGTTTTCATAGATTAGGTTAAATATGGAAGTGCTTTAGCAATATAGATCGGATTAAGTATGACTTGTACATGGGTCGGGATTGGTTATAAGTCATTAGATTTGCATTGCATAGAAATGAATCAAAACAGGTTAAATAGGTCTATTTGAGTCAAATCATTTTCGACCCAACCTGACCCACCCGTTTGGCGGGTCTACTGGCGGCTTACGAACATGATTGCCTTTCTTTAGTTTTACTTAGAGCTCCATATTTGCAAGCGACCGACCAGAAGACCGATACGAGGGAGTTCTCTTCGATCGCATGCAGAGGAAAATGCAACCCCATAAGGGTTTCAGAGTCACCTGGTTATATCTCCGCTAGTCAAGTATTCTAGGTGAGCGATAATTTGTATCGGTGATTGAGCAACACAAGGCACTTCTGAAGATGGTGTGTGGTCCATAATGCACGGGCACAAATGAACCATGATGAAAGGTATGGTGCACAATTTCGATCCCAATGGTCGATGATGCCGTGGCCATGAAGCTGCTTTCTCACGGACATGTCTGTTAGACAACAATATGGCGTGACAAAACCGAATGTAGATATCACCTTAAAATTTAAGACGAGATCGGTTTCAAGAAATTGTCTTTCGAGTGAAGATGAAAGTTTTCCAACTGTTTCCAATGAACTAAGTAGGCAGTAGATGCATGTCAATCGCGTCGGAGCCCACCGAAAGTGGCGCTGGACGCAAAGCAAGAATGACGTCGCCGAGCACCTCTGAGCCATAGGCCCGACTAATCGAATTGAACGAGCGAGTGAGGGAAAGCTATCGAGGACGCCGCACCAACGACGGCGCTAATCATTTAACTGTCGGGTTAACCTAACTTCGATCACCCATCTTACTCGCTCCGTTGGTCGGCTTAAGCATCGGTGTGCCGACCCGAGATTCATAAACCCAAACATCTTGACCCATCTCTCTTTCTCTGGGCATGTCCAATCTGCAAATCGACGGAGAGGATTCCTGTCCTCCAGATCAAGCAAACTAAGTATAAAAAAAAAAACCCAACATCTCCTAAGTAGCTGCACATCAGATTAAGTCTACAAAGACCGCCTTAAAGCACACCTAAATTGATTCCAAAATCACCCAGTAGAGACTCTAAATCCAGTGGAACCCAATTGATTCATGATTATGCACACAACATCTTTGCTTAGGCAGAGAGATCTTAGCTGCTAACACCAGCTCATGCAAAAGCAATGAAGCTTGAAGTCCGTGACAGCAGCTGAACAAGATGAAATCAGTAGTACCTGAAGCATCCACACTTCCGATTCTGACAAAACCAACCTGCCGCTGAGAATAGACCGACATGTCGAAGTAGAGAGTACGCGTTAGCATTCGAGACGCTTCCGACATGGATGGCGGAGCAGCGTATTCCAGCCGGAGCAGGACAACTTGCGGTGCTATCGACCACGACACTATATGAAGGCGTGAACGCCCATTACACCTGAGAAAGTTTGATCACATGAATGCATGATTAGGTCTTATTACATACCAATCTCGTTGAAATATGGATTTGCGAAAAGTGGAACCAAATGAGTTGACAAAAGAAAGAAGGTCGCAATGATGAAAACTCGAAATAATTGGAGAGAAACCAAACAAGTTGGCAAAAGAAACAAAAAAGATTGAAATGATGAAAATTCATGTAGCATCTCCGGATCTGTGGGTATAGACATGGAGACAAAAAAATGTAGAAAGGTTTCGATAATTGTATTCATAAATGAAGAAATCACAAAGCTAGAACAAAGATTAAATTCATCAATGTCGCACCAAATAATACTTTAAATTCGATTCATGGAATTCGATTACAAAATCGAAACTAGTTGATACATAAAACTGAACTAATCGACGCGATTGAATCTCAAAACCACAAATTAAGAATTGAAATTTGCAAACTCGAACATGAATTGAAAGACTTACAAATTTGGGATCGAGGGACCCTTGAGACTCGATGCATCAAATCCCCACAAAAGCTAGACCGATTCGAATGAACAAAAGCTATTCGCAATGGAGCTGCTATGCATTTTACGTAGATAAGCGCCTAAACGAAGCTCTCAAAGGGATAAGACATCCGATCCCAAATGTACTAGGTATTACTATAAAGATTGTATAATGCTAACATACTTTTCCAAGTTTTTGCGAATGCCGCTGAAGCTACTCGAGCCTATAACATCTAGATTCCCGAAGACACGAGAGTTTGGTTCTTGAGTCCGACCGTTCCCGGTTGATAAATGAGTCGAAGTGCGCAGATCGGAGTTCGTGGGGAAGTAGATCCGCTTATCACTAAAGGGCGTGAGTCGTTGACCCGGATTTGCAATATCAAGATAGCTCGTCGTGGTAGAGAAGCAAATACAATAGCGGACTGAATTGCTAAAGCCCAAAAAAAAAATTGGAAAAAAAAGCTCTCCCTCAAAATTGATTGACCCAACCATGAGCAAGCCCTTTGGGACCTTTTTTTTTTTTTTTGGTCAAAAGCTTTGGGACTTACTTTGTTCTGAAGCCTCTTCATTACTTTTTTTCAAAATCCCTTGGATCCTTGCATAGATTTAAGCATACAAATTGAACCAGGAATCAGATTCCCCAATCATTTCAGCTATAGCAATATGCTAGATTTGAATTGTTGTACAATTTACCATATATTAAGAAAATTGTAATCAATAAATTAGCATTCATAACTGTTATAAACGATATAGACTACTTCATTAAAACGTATCGCTATAATTTTAAAATAGACTTATTTGTAACTAATTTAATAATTACAATTTATAATATGTTTTTTTATTAATAAAAACTTAATTTAGTGTAATATCCATAAAATGACTCATTTAACATACATATGTATCATTCATGATTATTTCAATGAACTTTTATATTTTACATTTAATTTGCAACTCCCTAACTTAATTTGTAATCCTCAGTCAAGTATAAAGTATTTAATAACAGATAATCGTCTATTATAAATTTAGAATACAATAATTAGTAATGTAAAAAATTATCAATTGAATCTTAAACCTATTGTATGGATGCTAATTCAGTCCTAAATATGTTATACATATGTCAATTCTATCTTAATTTTCACTTTTACCAATATAATCCTCATCATTTCTACAAAATTCTAATGAAATCTTTCCAAACAATTTCCGTCGAAAATCGCTAATGTGGCGTGTTCCAAGTAAAGTTAACCACGTCGGTGTGTCACATAAGACGATTGGCGTTGAGTCGTTGACTACATGTCACATTAGCTCTGATACGCGGCAATTGGCCTTCATCGGAATTTCGCGCGAAAATCTAGGATTATATTGGCAAAATTTAAAAGTTTAGGATTAAATTAACAACTGTAGAGTAAGTTTTATGTAGTAATATATATTAACACAGGGAAGGAATGAAACGGGGCATTCCTTCATTCCTTAGGTCCTTCAAATGGGGGGCACCGGAATGGCAAAGGACAAACACGAGATCAGCGACTTAATTTCCAAAAAAAAACATCAACTTTACTTTGAGTGAAAATTCTGACTCGAACTTTTTTTTTATCTCACAAAAAATTACAAACTTTCGCTTAAATCCTAAATCTGACCTGAACAATTTGAAAATTTCATATCACAAGGGCCAGATTTGGGGCAAGAATAAAGTTTGGATCAAAATTGTCACTCAAAATAAAGTTAATTTTATTTTTTCTTGGGAATTAGCCCCGATATCACCTCAATCGAATCTCATCGGATCCCCCCCCTCCTCCCTCCCAGCGCCCCCTAAAACAAAAAAGTCAACGGAATGGCAACCCCCGTAAATTACGCATTGACCGGGGGTTCAATTCGCTTACCCCCCATCTCTTTCTCCCGCTCACGCCTCACCGAAAACAGCTCCCCCCCTATTTTCATTCCTCGCTGTAAGAAACCTAAAAAGAGAATCGAAGCACTGTCCACTCGAAATCACTGAAGTGGACGACGGAGACCTTCGAAGCTCTTCGCCCATGGCGGCCCCCCTCGTGAAGCTCGCCGCCGCCGCCGCCGTCCTCCCCAACCCCCCCACCCCGGCTCCCCGCGGCGGTCCTCTGTAGCCCCGCCGCCGCCGGGGCCGTTTCGGGGCGGTCAATTTGGAGCTCCGGGTTCGTACATTCTGACTCTTGCCTCTGCGTTAATTTCAGCTGAAAGAAATGATGTGTAATCTCGAGTTTCGGTTTCTGGGTGTGGTAGGACTTGTGGGCATTTGTGGGTTGTGCTTGGTGGCTGAAGCCGTTGATGTGAAATGACTGCTTTCGTTCTTTGGCCTTTTCTTGTTTTTGGGGGGGATGAGGGAACGGCACCGGATTTGGTTTTCGATGGGCGAGGACTATGGGTTAGCTTTGCGTTTGCTGGGGCTTGGTTAAGTGACCTGAAGGGTTTTAGCTAGCGTAATTGCTAAGCAGCTAGAAGCTAGGATTGAGGACCGTCGGACGATGAGCCTGTCGTTTCTTTGCTGTGGTCTCTATTCCTGTCTCTCGTCCTTGTCGGGTTCTTTACTTTTCTTTTCGTTTCTTTTCTTTTTTGACTGATGGGTGTTTGGTTATCTCTTTTTATCTTTGTTTTCCTTTTTTACTGCAGTGTTAGCTGGGGATAGAGATTTCGCTACCTATCTTGAACTATGGAGGACCATGGTAGTTTGGAGAGCTTTAGAGTTACGGAAAATGGTGCCGCCTCATGCAGCGATAGGCCAATGAACCATGTGAGCAATGGCAGAGAGAGCGAAAATCTAGACGTTGAACTTTTGGCGGATTTGGAATCTTATTTGCAAGATATTAATGATAGGCTTACGATTTCGAGAATGGTGAGCGATTCTGTCATCAAGGGCATGGTGAGTGCGGTCGAGCAGGAGGCTGAGGAGAAGATCGGTGAAAAACAGTTGGAGATAGCTGGACTGAGGGCAACATTGCGTGCATGTCATGCCGTGGAGGACAGGAATAAGCTTTTGCATATTCCGTTGTCACTGTTGAATGAGGTGACTACCCAACAGGACTCAGTTTTGGTCATCTCAAACCCTCATAAAGACCATGACGGGAATTCGGATTTTCTGAGGAGCTGTATAAGTGAAGTGAAAGAGCAGCTAGCAAAACTCAAGAAAGAGGTAAACAACGTTAAAGGTGGAAATCGTTGTAGGAGGATTAATTCAGGTGATGAATTGGTAGGGTTGGGTGGTATCTTGCTGGAGGAGGTGTCTGAAAGATTGATTGGTGTGGATAGTACGTTCGATGGTCTCCAGAATACACTAGATTCTTTCTTCAGCCAGCTGAAGGATATGGTTCACATATCTAAGACGTCACTTCGCGTGATGCAGCAGGAATGGGAACTAAGAGCAGAAATTGAGGCCATTGTGATAACCGACTACATCAGGAGCCTCCACAGTGAGTTTGAGAGGAAGCTTTGGGATCATAACAGTTATTCTCGAGGGTGTGAAAACCTCAGTTCCCTGAAGAAGATGAAAGAAATAACTGCTCTACGTGAGGAACTAGTTGTGCTTTCTAATCTATTGTCCAGTAATGATAATGGGCAGCTAATTTCTCAAGTGTCCTTGGAGGATGGTGAAGAATGTTTGATTAATAAAAGAACTGATCACTTGAATCGGAAACTGTCAGGTAACCATTTGCCATCAGCTTCTCCCTGGGAGGGTAGTGGCAAGCATGATGAGCTAATAATTACTATGCCAGAGAATTTGGACCCAGCGCAACTAAAACATATGGGAAGAGATGAATTGATAGGTTATTTCAAGACTGAGATGACCAAAATGAAAAGATTCCATGAGTCCAAGATACAGGAGAAGACTGAAGAGGTTTTTAGTCTCAAGCGAGAATTCTTGAAGGAAAGAGGACCTTCATTGACTGTCAGAAAGGACAAAGAATTTGAAGGATTGAAGAGAAAAATCCCTGAAGTAGTCCTGAAGTTAGATGACATTTTGATGGAAAGTAACAATGAACCTCAATCTAATGGTGATGCTGGCAGTTTGGGCACTATGAGGGAGAGATTGGAAGATCTTCTGGCTGAAAATCACCAGCTAAGAGGCATTCTTTCTGATAAGAAAAAAGAGGTGAAGTGTCTTCTCTCACAAATTTCTGATGATGCAAAGCAAATCTCTTCTCATTCTTCCGCTGAGGCAAAACTGTTGGAAACGATTAGAAATCTCACATGTAAACGGGAAGATGCACAAGTTGAAGCTTCCATTTCTGAAGAGGTATACAAATGTATTGTCAAGGAGATGATGGCATACATGCACCATATTTCTGGCAATTTGTATAATTGGAAAAGTATCAGGGAAGATGTTCATGAAATTGCTCATGTTGCTGAATGTTTGTGCCAATCTGAATTTGAGAATTTGAATATCGAGTCCGTTGTTATGCAAGGGTTGGATGGAATGATATATGCAGAAGTTTTGAAGGATGCTAAGAAGAAATTATGTCACTTGAATGATTCGTACATTAACGAAATGAAGCTCCGAGTTTCACTTGAATTGGAAGCAATGGAAAGAGAAAGATCACTGGTATCAAAAATTTCAGAGAATGAAAAGCTAAAGCAGGAGATAACACAGTTGGCGGTGTTGGTGGAAGAAAAGGAGAAGTTAGCTCAGGAAACAACTAGTGAATTGTCTATACAGATGAAACAATGCGAAATAATATCTCAAGAGCTTGATCTATTGAGAGCTGAATCAAGTAGACAGCAAATCCTAATTGCAGAGATGAATAAAGAATCAGAACTCATAAAAGGTAACCTTGCTCAAGGACTTGAGCAAATCAAAACATATGAAACGGAGTTGAACAATCTGAATGAGAAGTTAAATTTAGCAGCCAAAAAGTTGAGTAAAGCTAATGAAGAGAGAGGCTTGTTTCTTGCGGCTACTCAAGAGAAGGAGAATGCTTTACTGTTGCTTAGAGTTAAAGAAAGAGAGAATTTGGAACAGCTTGAGTCAACAACTGGAACTATCCATGAATTGCTGAAGAGAGTAACTGACTTGGAACAGAGTATATCAGAAGATATTCAGAGGAAAAACACAAGGTACGCATTAAAATTCCTCTATTTTATAGTTTACCTTTATGACACATACAATTCTTTAAAAAGCTGCTATAGAGGGCCTCATGTGGTTTATCTTGTTTCTTAGCAAGGATCTTGAAGCATTCAATGCATTTTCTAGATTATATCTAGTACTGTCGAATGGCTATTCTTTAACATCCAACGTTATTATATATGTGCTTGACTTGTAGGATTTACATTATTACAAAATGTCTTCAGGAGAAATTGAATAAGTTTGTCCAACGATAGAAATTCTTTCTGTGGCTTTTGGTAGACAAAGGGGATGGAACAGTCGAGTTGATGATCCTTAAATATTCCAGAAGGGAGTGAGGCTGCTGATTAAATGTCTTTTAGAGCATGGGCACTATTGGCTTCGGTATATTGAACTAGACTCTGATGGTTTGATGGGAAGTTAACCTGGCACATTTATTGTCAGTATTGCCCATCACGTTTCTGAGTTTGGACTGACCAGCAATTGCTTCTCAAGGGTTGATGAGCTATTTCCCACTAGGGCCTAGTTAATACTTATCAGCTGATTTATTATTTGTTGGTAACTTTTTCAAGGTAGTTTGAAATCATCTAGAGATCATTGCTGCTGCTTGCCATCAGAGATAGTTACCATCACTTGTGCTCATGGATTTTAAATACCCACAGTGACATCCACCGCAACCACCATTCCTTTCATCTTCCAATTTTTGGAGTAATCCTTTAGTGAATCCAACAACGGACCGGTTATCTTGAATCAATGTGAGTCATCTTTGACAAAAGCTTTTCCCGAGGAATTCTTTTCTTATAGATGAGTATCACGAAAAAGTTGAACTTTGGCAGAATTGTCTCATCTGGTATAAAAGTGAAAACCCAAGCAACATCACTTCTAAAATATTCTTCTCAGACTCAAAATCTGAACTAGACATTGGGGAAACAATTTCGGTTGGTGAATTAGTTGTCTTATTGTGTTATGCATGATTGCTAATAGCTCCTCACTGCATACCATGTAACGTCTGCAGTTCCCCACTCAGTTATACAATACCTACTACCTATGTGACTTTTAACCAGTGTCCTAATGCCTTTGTGCCTAAATCAATGTAAAAACAAATTTCTTTTTTGGTGAGCTATTTTCCTTGACATGTGGATTCAGCTTTCCATTTAAATACTTGGATTTTAAGAAACTATATCATTTACCATTTTCATTGAGGAAAACATAGAGCTTTCATTGGCGAGCACAACACATGGGGCCGACACCCCATAAGAACACTAATTGACTATTAAAATATCTGAAGATCAAGTAGCATGCTATGGAACATAAGATCCCTCTAGCAATTAGATTCTTTGCCATATCCTCTAGCAATAGTTCAGGTGGCCGCGTTGGTTTGCGCTCAGTTCCTTTCACGAGAGGTCCTGGGTTCAAAACTCGCCCATCGGTGATTTAAGTGGGGGTCGTGACGGTGGGATGCTGCGCTAGCCCCCTCAAGGACTAGTCGAGCATCACCGCTGGTTTGAGCCTTAGCTCGCCGGCCGCGCGGACACCTCGATTATCAAAAAAAAAAAAAAAATAGTTCAGGATGCATTTTATATCTGGAAAAGTGAAAGCTACATATCTTTTTGTCCTGTATTTTATCCTTGCTTTTCTTTTGGCTTTTAGATGAGCTGCATTTGGTTGAGAAAATAGACTGAACAAGCTGCTGTGCTGGATAAGTTATTTGGTGGAACTATTTTAAATAGCTTTTAAGGTTGAATACAGGGCTTTTATAAGAAGAAACCACATTGTCCCCGATTAAAATGAGCCATTTATCTTGAGGTCCCAATGTTTTTGATGTTCACAACGGGAGATACCCTGGGAACTTGTTCCATTGCTATATGCAAGCTGGCGAAATATCTCTGCAGTTTGCCGGAGAAAGATGGAAACTTCCGATGATTATGGAGTGGTTGCAGGCTAATAGTGGTAATGGATACGCGGTTAAGGGGCTTCCTGAAGAAATGCTCATCTCAGTTCTGTGACTCCATTGAAAAAAGTGCAAGGGAAGATGATGTTTATCAAATTTCTTAATGTGAAAATTGCGATCAATGTGTTTGTCCAATTTCATCCTGAACCTTCATAGACTTCATTCTGAAGAAAAAAAAGAGATTACGCAAAGACTAACTCACTCAAGGGTTATTTTGGCCAAAACAAGTACAAGTCTGCCTCCTATTCAAATTTTTGTTGCATCTGCTTTGCCAGTGACTTTGGTTGGGGGAGAAAAAGTTCAAAAGTGTGAAAAACGTTGTTAAGGTGAGTAAGGAGATGCAAAGAAATATTATTTTGTGTGAAGCCTCTGTTGCCATAATCTTTTTGGCAGGAACCTGGAGAATCTAATTACCAGATCAGGAGAGGAAGAAGAGAGTGTTTGAGAAAGTGAACGCAAGGGCAGATTTTAGGGGTATTTTCGTCAATTAGGTTCAAAAGGCTGCCCTGTTAGCCATTTAAGGTGGAAAATCAGAGTTTCCCTTGGTTTTTTCTGTAGTATAGTTTTATGAATTCTCTTGAAGAGTGAAGGTTGCATTTACCTGTGGACCAGCTGTATCAGGGTCAGAGATTGAGAATTTGGATACCTAGTGCTGATGGAAAACATGAGTAAATTCTACAAATCATTGTTCTCATGATTTTAAAATCCTTGAGAAACGCTATGAAGTTATTGGAATGTAATGTTCTCTAGCAAAGCTGCCTTCTGAACACAACCATTAATCTTCTAAGTTGAAATCATGCTGTCACATAGACATGGACTCTTCTGGATTCTAATTGATTGACAGGTGCAGCAACTCAGCCATACCTCTGCATTCCAGACAGTGGTGCTTTTTCACCCTTGAACCCTGACCTCCCTGTCAATGAAATGTCCTTATTCCAACTTCAAGGCTCACCCCTTGTTGCGACTCATTCTGGATGCAGCAATTTTCCATTTGCAGATAACAAATGTCTGTACTCTTCCTTTTTTATCACTTGAGCATGCAATTGCGGTAGCTCTTGCTGACTGTTTAGCGAGGGAAACTATGGGGTTTCTCTTAATTTCCTTGATGATGAACTTATGATGAACTTGTTAAATACTTAGTCAAAGTGGGATTAGTTCACTATTTTCGTAACTGGTATAGCTTGTTTAACGCATAACATTTGTGATAGGCTGGTGTCTTGATCAGCAAGTTTTGTGGTGACTTGGGACTAAAGTTGTTTGTGTGGTGTTTCTCTCTAGGTTGGGTACTGTGGGGTCCCAACTGAGTTCCCTTAAGCAGAAGGCTGTTGCACTTAGAAGAATGGGATCTATTTACGAGCAGAAACTTGAAAGAAGATGTTCAGACCTCCAAAAAGCTGAAGCTGAGGTAAGCGAATTACAAAGCTAGTAGCGTCAGTGAGCAAGACTTACCAATGCATTGTTACTTGATATGCAAATCATTTTATGTTACACTGAAGAACAGTTTTTGTTGCATGTCTTGCTTTTATTATTGAAAACAGGGTAGTTGGTGCATTTAAGTCTAGAGGAGCTCATGAAGTATATGTTTTTCATTGAGAATTTTCGGAGGATTCTTTTTTATTTTCCACTTATATAGGAAATTTTGTCTTACATTTTCTTTGATTGCCAATATTTTGTGTCTTAACATAGCTCTTTAATCATGGCTGAATTTTGAAAATTAAAGTGAGTGTGAAAAAATCATCACAATATCTCTGGTGGTGTTTGGGTGCCTGTCTTGCAACAGGTTTTATGGTTTTTTACGTGATTAATAATTAATTTGGACACTAGTGGGCTTTCTTCTTCATTGTTAAATTTCCGTGGATGAATGTCTTTCTTTCTTGCATGGGCTTTAGCGTTTTGGGGCTTTTGTTTTCTCATTCTCACTTTTGGAGTTGAAGGGTAAAATGATAACTAAGATTCAGCTGGGTGCAAATTTAATGGTGGAAAACATATTGCATTTGATAGACAACACAAGTGGAGAAAGTTAAAAACGTTATTTAAATCTGCAGGTCGATCTCCTAGGAGACCAGGTGGATACACTTCTGAATCTCCTGGAGAAAGTTTATATTGGTTTGGATCACTACTCTCCAATTTTGAAACATTATCCTGGAGTAAGTTGCTTTTGCCTTTTGGTCATGGCTGTGTATGTTTTTTAAATTTTAGATTGAAAAAAATTAAGTGAGATTTTATTACGTTTTATTTATTATCCGACGCGTATGACTGATAAAAAACTTGTGCGGACATTATCACTGAATCTGATGTTACTAAGAGGAATCATCACACATTCAAATCTGCCGTATCTTCCATTTGTAATAAATCGATGTTACATAGGACTGGAATGTCAATGGCTCTACATATGCATCTAGTGCAAGACATCTGCAGAACTGAAGATGCTACCTTCCAAGTCTAAGCTCAATGTCCTTGTCCTGGGTGTTTAGGTTATCCTTGCATTTCCTCTTGTTGCGGCAAAGGTGCTGAGGGGAGTTTAAGCAGTTTCAGGGGCTTGTGGAGGGGGCTTAGTAGGATTAGTGGGTGGATTCTCTTGGCCTGGAGGAACCCAAAGTAGGCTATAGGCAGGACAGGATGCTCTATAGGCATTATTTTTCCTTGTATTGTATGCTCTATAGGCATTATTTTTCCTTGTATTGTAATAAGCTTAGGGTCTGATTAGTCATTGTAGTATAAACTTTCCTAATTTTAGCTTCCGCAGAAGGCTTTTGAGCCAATGTCATGGAAAGATAAAGCCATAAAAAAACAACCTTCCAATATGAGCCCAACCCTCCCATTCGCCATCATCCTTCTCAAAAAGAAAACAAAACGAAAAAGGAAAGTTTATATGATTGTGCTGCTGTCTGCTTTTAGGTTATGGGGTAGCGTCAATTGACATTTGATTTCAGACTTGGAGGCATTTTGTAAGTGAAATTATGGGTGAGCGGACAATTAAAAAAAAATGCTCTCAGAAACATAATTTGTCCATCTTCCAGGCAGTGTAATGATTGTATTGACCTGCCATCTGACATATACTTAAGATGGATTTTCTAATCCTTCACACACTGGCTCTCCCTTGCTTCTTGCAGATTATGGAGGTCCTGAAGCTTGTGAGAAGAGAGTTGACTGGGGAATCTTTAAAGTTTATTTGACAAATTGTCTGATATGTCAATGCTTCAAACAGAAGCTCAGACTGATAAAATAGTACAGGTATGCATTTATAGCTAGATTAGTTCTTGTTAAATGAAAATCTGGACACCGAACCGTCTATCTTGGAGCTGAAGAATAATTTCCTCCCATGTATTGTTGAGTTTGAGCATTCTGTGGTAAATATACTTCTCCTCCTTGTTGTCTGCAGATCCCATGCTTTGGTCTCTTTCTACAGCATCCGCGTCTTTTGTCATTGTTGCAGTTCTGCAGCGCCTCCAGTCAACAACTTGTCGTGCTGCTGCAGACATGGATCTTTTCTGTGGATAGTATGCCTTCTTTAAACGATTATAGGGAAGATTATGATGTCATAGGACAAATGGCTTCTGAAGAACAAGGCAAAATGTAGATGTCTCATACAGACCCATGTAAATTTGAGGAAGAAACTAGGAAGATGCCTGCCGATTTTTGCTGTACAAAGGTGATGCATTGTTTTTGGACGTCGAGGAGCGTTCTTTTGTCCACTGGAGCCAAATCTTCAGGTCCATCTTATTTTTACTTTTTTGTTTTGTTTTACCTCTTGCTTATGCAGAGTTTTCACCTTTTCTGTTCTTGATGCAGTGGAAGAAAGTGTAGATTAGATAGCTCCTAAGATGTGATGGATTGTGCTTCTGGTAAATTACTTGGGCAAAGTTGCAAGTTTGGCACCTATATCAATTTGCATATCAACTTCAAAGTAGACAATTTCCATCCTGAGTTTTCACAGTACATTTCAAATTGCATCTGCAGCTAATCCATACTGTAATAATGAATTTCCATATCGCCGTTTCTTTCCAAAACTACCCCAATCTCCCACCTATCCACACAAAAAAAAAATGGTAATAAACCCTGGAAACGAAGTATATCCTTTTTATTTCTGGTAAATGTGTTTCCTTCTTTTCAACCCAAATAAAGGAAGAGCGATATGCTCAGCGTTCCCATGTCACTTGGGCAGGATTGAATCTGAATGTAACGTGAGATTCCGAAGAGCAACGTACCAAGATTTCATTAGATAACACTGATGACTCCAACCTGCTCGCCTCATCTTTTCCAAAGCTATCCTATTCCTCAGTTCACACTCAAAAATGTTAGATCAACGTAAGAACGCTCGCGGCATGTCCGGTGTTCAGGAAATCTAAACCATTCACGATCCTGTTTCTGTGTACTCCGCTGATTCTGCCCTTGTAAGAATGGTGTTTTACTATAAAAGTGGTCCCTCACAAATTCTATCCTATTCCAAACAAGGGAAGTTAGACGAAAGTCACTTGTGCGCTTCTTCCTCAAACGTGCCGTATATAGTGGGAGACCAAGTGGGTTTTAGTGAAATTGGTCATCTCACGAGGAAGGGTATAAATTACAAATGGGGCATCAAATTTTAGAGGATGTTATACATGGCGGGTTGAATACAAGATGACAAAGATTGGGAGAATTACCAAAAAGGTCCTAAACCCATTGTATTTGTGCTAATTCAGTCCTAAACCTTTTAATTGTATCAATTGAGTCATGAACCTTTTCACGTTTTGCCAATTGAGTCCATCCATCCAATTTTGGCCGGAAAATCGCTGACGTGGCACGCCGGTCTTCCCTGCTTTGCTTGCTCATGTTTCTTCTCTATGCTTTTTTGCCACATTGCGGCGATTAGCTCAATGAGCGGGTTATAATAAGGAATGCATAAGACAAGAAATGTTGAACCTTGATATTGTATGCCTGCACTTGCTGAAGCTTCCTATAATAATCTTATAACGACTCTTTTAAGAAGGTTTGCAATCAATGGAGAGGGTGAAAAAAAAAATGCAACTGACACAAATCACAACTCTTGCTCAATCTCGTCAATGGGGGAAAAAAGATAAAATAATGCAAAGGAGGAAAAAAGTTTGGAAAGTCGTATTTAAGGTTATATAACTCCATCCTAAATAACTCATATTAATCAAAAAGCACTCGATTAACCTTTAGAAAAAAGATTTCAACAAAAAAAAACCTTTTGAAATATTTCTAATCCAAAAAAGAACCCCGGATATAAACTGCAAGCTATCATGAATATCAACCAAATAAGTTCGACAAACAATCAAGTAATAAATAGAAAACAACCCAACCATTTCGTGCAATTATAAGAAATCAATCCAAGCCATCTTGTGCAATAATTAGACATGGTCTTGTTATTACGCCTCGGAACACGACCCCCGTGAGCGATGAAATGAGATGTACGCGACCTGATATACACCAATCTTTACTTCGGCTCATTGTCGTAAAGATGTGAAAATGAGATGCTATATTCTGTCCCGAGTGGAAATCAGATGATGAGTTTGTTTGATATCATTGAACTCATTCCAATTCTCATCGACCTTTTTCATTATGCCGTACAGTGGTTCGAACGTAGGACCGCCTGCATGATGTGACAATGTCTAATCTCACAAATTAATTTTAAACATTAACTTGAGACTTTGAACAGACGTGGATTTAAACAAGACCAATTATATTCTCTCCTTCTATCGTTAATCAAATTACGTACCAGAGGTGAAGATCCAATGTGAAGGGAATCAGCCACAGCAACAAAGGGTAATTCCAAAAAAACAAAAAATCACCAACTTTACCTTGAGTGACAATTCTGGCCGAACTTTTTTATGTCTCAATAAAAAGCACTGACTTTTACTCAAGTTCCAAATATGGTCCCCGTGATGTAAAATTTTCAAATTGTTCGGGCTAGATTTGGGATTTTAGTGAAAATTTGTGATTTTTTACGAGATGAAAAAAAGTTCTGATTATAATTGTCACTCAAAGTAAAGTTAATGTTTCTTTTTTTTTTTTTATAGAATTAGGCCCAGGAACAAGTGCAGCAAAATTCAAGCGACATTTCAATACACAGCAGGAAAGCATCTTAAGCAACTAAAAGTTGGAGCACCATGTCATCTCAAACTTTATGCCACATGCAACATCTAAAAGGTACTGTCTTGAATCATAAACCAAAAAAATAAAAACTCAAAAATCAAAATAAGAGATTAATAATCATAACAAGAAATCAAAATCTGCACGAGTAACCCTCAATATAACCTCTAAGCTCTTGATAAATCCTCACCACTAAATGACCCTCGAAAGAAACTATCAGATAACAAAAATAACATAGACAGATCACAATCCCCATATGTCATCTTAATTGCAAAAAATAAAATAAAATATGAATATAATCCCCAAACCCCTAAAAATGAGAAGCTCCTAAATAAACTCAAAATTAGTCAAAACAACCCTTTAACGCCTATGGAAAAACCTCCTGAATCTTAAATAGCTCATAATTAAACTCAAATGAGCCTCAAACAAAACAAACGAAGTGCTATAACATGCTTAATGCCGAAACAACCCCAACAATCAAAATACCCTCAAAATAACCCGTAAACAAGACTCAACCGTCAAATAAAATCTAAAAGGGATAAGAACAACGCAAGTGCTATAACTTTCATACGGTGTTCACTTGAGTACCATAACTTCTTCTTTTTTTTGTTCACTTGAATATCACAAATTTGAATAATCGATCATTTGAGTACCATCGGCGATTTGTCTCGCCGAAAAATCTGACGTGGACACCAGTCGTCCTCCGTGACTTTACCGGCGCTGACGTGGATAATTTTTGAATTTTTTATTTTTGAATTATTTTTATTGAATTTTTTGTTTTTCTTTTCCTTTTTTTTTTGCCTTTTTTTTTTCAGTGCTGGTGAGGGCCATCGGTGAGCCTTCCTCACTGGCTGTGAAGGCTCGCCTAGATTGGGCGAGGGCTGCCTGGCCCTGAAAAAAAAAAAGAAAATTATAAAAGGAAAAGAAAAATTAATTAATTTAAAAATTTAAAAATCCACATTGGATGGAAATTTAATGAAAAAATCCACGTAAGGTAATTTGTCGGAAATAGCACTCAAATGATTGATTTTACTCCGATGTGGCACTTAAGTGAGAAAAAAAATTATGATATTCAAGTGAGCGCAGTACGAAAGTTATGGCAATTACACTATTCTTATCCCCATCTTAAGTGAAAAAAGCAACCCCTGAATCATACCACAACCCTAGAAAACGAAATAACACATCATAACCCCTAACCTTGAAATTGAAAAGCCTCCGTTAAGCCCGATATGACCTCTAAGCCCTTGCTAAATCCCCAGCACCATACGATCCTAAAAAAATCCATTAAATAATCTAAACATCCTAAATAACTCACAGTACCTAGATAACTTCTAACCTGCAAAAAAGACGAAGAATACAAACAAACCCCCAATCTTGAAATATTCCCTAAATCTGAAATATGTCATAATTAAACTCAAATTACTCTCCAATAGGCCCATTATAACAGGGAAAAGTGCCAAAAAAGTCATAAATCTTTTTCATTGGTGCCAATTTAGTCCTAAACCTTTTTTTTATGCCAATTCAGTCCTAAACCTTTTGCATTGGTGCCAATTTAGTACTAAACATTTTTTTGGTGCCAATTCAGTCGTAAACCTTTTGCATTTGTGCCAATTCAGTCATAAACATTTTGTCTTTATGTCAATTCAGTCCTTCCGATCAATTTTGGCAGGATTTTGTTGACGTGGACGCCGGCCAGCCGTCAGTCGGTCACCGGCGCTAACGTGGACAACTTTAATAATATTTTAATTTTTTTTTGAAATTTTATTACTTTTTTCTTTTTTTCTTTTTTTTTCCCCTTCCCTCCCTCTTTCCTCCAGCCGGTCGCCAGACTGGCGACCAACCAGATGCCGGCACCGACGAGGCTCACCTTATCCGTCGCCGGTGAGGGCGAGCCTCGCCAGCGGCTGGGTGCGAGGCCGCCCTCACCGGACACCTCGCCGGCCTCTGGCCGATCGCTGGTCTGACGACTGGCTGGAGGAAGGAGGGAGGGGAGGGGGAAAAAAAAAGAAAAGAAAAAATTTCAAAAATTCAAAAAAATATTAAAGTTGTCCACGTCAGCGCCGGTGACCGGCCGACATCCGCGTCAGCAAAATCCGGCCAAAATTGGCAGGAAGGATTGAATTGGCACAAAAACAAAAGGTTTAGGACTGAATTGACACCATAAAAAGGTTTAGGACTGAATTAGCACCAATGCAAAATGTTTAGGATTTTTTTGGCACTTTTCGCCACACGTAAATTCTTAATACATTCTCGACACCAAAATAACCCCAATATCAAAATACCGTAAAATAACTCCAACATTTCTACATTGCAAAAAAGGATGAAAAAGAAAAAACCAAGAATGGGCCACAAATAACCCCCAATATAACCTCTAAGCCCTTTATAAATCCTCAACACCAGACGACGTCAAAGAAACTACTGGATGACCGAAAAACCCTAAACAACTCACAATCTCCAAATAACATCTAAATTATAATCCCAAAACCCTAAAAATAGAAAGCCCACAAATAAACTCAAAATTAGTCTGAAATAACACAATTTGAACACCTAAACCGTTAGTAAAAACTCATTCTCAAAATAAGCCAATAAAATCAAAATCCCCTCAAATAACCCATAAACCAAAATTATAGACCCCATATCAACACTCCACAAAACTCAAATAACAAAATTTAAATGGTACAAATCGAAGAAAATGATCCAAAACCCCTAACATCCAAACGACCCTCTACGAACTCTGAAATAAACCCGAAAGGAGCCTCAATAAACCCCCTTCTGACCCCTCGCCGTGAATAAATGCTCATCATAGAAAAAAAAAACCCAAACATTAAAATATGCTGATACAATGAAATCTGTAGTCAGAGAGACAAACTAATTTCACAGAATCAATGTGGAAACTACAATGCCAATACCAGTTCATGAATCCAACTGCTTTGCACAACATAAAAGTTCAATGAAAAGCTTCAGCCCCATTTGATATCCATGTCGACTTTAACACGTCAAAAGCTAAAGGGGAAAGACACATCAAGCAACGGGGTCCGGCAAAACGTGTCATGTTTTATAAGCAGAGACTGTTTGACAGGACAAAAGAAAAAGTAAATCGAACCCAACGGGAGTGTGCAAGAAAAACGTGGAATTAATCAACGAGGATTGAGGAGTCTGTCCCGACACTATCGGGTGATGAAGAACAACAAGAGTCAAGGACATAGCGAGATTATTACCTATATGAGATGAAAGTGCGTGAATGAAGGTCACCATGTAGATCAGGTTCTAAGTTAGGATCTTCAAGATCACCGTGTCAAATATTATAAATTTCACAGAAGGAACTATGAATCCTATTCATGCACTGCTCAATCATTCTGAAATAATGTTGACAGTAATCATGCTTCCAACAGAGAACACAGTGATGTGGGACATACTGTCTAATATCGTTACTAGAAGAATATGCCGACGAGAATTGTGTAATTTTTATATATAAGTGGACATGAACCAGATAACTATCTAATGTAAGATATTAGGATATAAATTATAATCAATTAGAATCAATCAAACGTATGCACAATCAAGTGAAATAATGCATTATCCTGAGAGATATAGAAAATCAAGGAATATATGAAAAATCTCCTAATATCTTTCAATTATCTCTAACACTACTGAAAGACAACGTAGATGATAAAAGAAGAAAGACAGATGAAAAGTACTATGACATATATCATCGAAATCGAGTCTAGAACTTGCTCACAAGTATCGCTATCGATAGAAATAGTCGATACATCATATTCATACCATCAAATTTGAAGAAATATAGACATATGGGAAGTCATGTCCTTTTATTAATATGCTTTATAACAGAATAATCGGTAACTATCTCATAATCTAATTAATCACGCTTTATAATATCCCTTTACTTAATGAAGAATTAATTTAGTGTAATATCCATAAAATAATCCATTTAACATACGTAAGTATCGTGCGTCGTTAATTCAATGAAATTCTAACTTATTTTGCATTCAATTTGTAAATAACTAACTTAATTTGCAATCCTCATTTAAATATATTTAAGATTACAATTATTAGTAATATATACTAACATAGGGAAGGAATGAAATGGGGCATTCCTTACTCCTTAAGGTAATCTACTCTCATTGGATTCTCCAGTTAAAAAGGGAAGGTCAACAAAATGTCAACTCCCTCAAAAGTAAGGATTGACTTGGGGGGTCAACTCACTTTCCCCGTCTCTCTCTCCCGCTCGCGCCACCACGCATCACCAACAAGACTTCCCCTGTTCTTTCGCTGTAAGAAAGGTAACAATCTCACACACTGCAATGCACTCGAAGATCACTGAAGCGGACAGCGACCTTCGAAGCTCTTCGCTCATGGCGGTCCCCTCCGCATAGGCCCCATTCACTGGTGAGTTCGCCTCTGTCCTCGATCCCGGCTCTCTGCGGTTCTCTGTAGCTCTGCTTTTGTCGTCTCGTTTGAAGCTCGTCAGTTGGAGCTCTGGTTCATGAATTTCAATGATGCCTTTCGCGTCCATTGGAAACTTGAGTTTGGGTTTCGGTTGAGTAGGAATTGTGTGCGTGCGGTTGTGTTGTGGCTGAAGAAGTGAAGCAGTCTGCTGCCGTTGACGTGAAATGATGGCTCTGTTCATCGGTTTTTTTCTTTTGGGGGCTACGGATTTGGTTAGATTGTGCGACTTTGGTTAGCTTCCATGTGCTGGGACTTGGTTAAGTAACCTTAAAGGTTTAACTAGCGTAATTGCTGTGCAGCTAAAAGCTAGTATCGAGGAGTGTTGTCTATTCTTTACTGTGGTCTCTCTTTCTGTCTCTCATGCTTGTCGGTTGTTTACTTTTCTTTTCATTACTCTTCTTTTTGCTGATGGATGTCTTGTCCTCTTTTTATCTTTGTTTTCCTTTTCTCTGCAGTGTTCGTTGGAGATAGAGATTTCACTATTCACTTCAATCTATGGAGGAGCACGGGGGTTTGGAGAGCTTTGGAGTTACAGACAATGGTGCCGCCTCATGCAATGATAGGCCATTGAACCATGTGAGTAATGGCAAAGAGAGCGAAAATCTAGGCGTTAAACTTTTGGCGGATTTGGAATCTTATTTGCAGGACATCGATGATAGACTTACGATTTCGAGAATGGTGAGCGATTCTGTTATCAAGGGCATGGCGCGTGCGGTGGAGCAAGAGGCTGAGGAGAAGATTGGCGAAAAACAGTTGGTGATAGCTGGACTGAAGGAAACGTTGCGAGCAAATCATACCACGGAGGACCGGGATACGCTTTTGCATATTCCATCATCACCTTTGAATGAGGGGAATACCCAACAAGACTCATTTTTAGTCATCCCGAACCTTCATAAAGACCGTGACGGAAATTCGGATTTTCTGAGGAGCCGTATAAGTGAAGTGAAAGAGCAGCTAGTAGAACTCAAGAAAGAGGTAAACAACGTTAAAGGTGGAAATCATTGCGGGAGGATTAATTCAGGTGATGAGTTGGTAGGGTTGGGTGGTATCTTGCTGGAGGAGGTGTCTGAAAGATTGATTGGTGTGGACAGTACGTTTGATGGTCTCCAGAGTACACTAGATTCTTTCTTCAGCCAGCTGAAAAATATGGTTCACATATCCAAGACGTCACTTCGTGAGATGCAGCAGGAGTGGGAACTAAGAGCAGAAATTGAGGCCATTGTGATAACCGACTACATCAGGAGCCTCCGCAGTGAGTTTGAGATGAAGCTTTGGGATCTTAACAGTTATTCTCGCGGTTGTGAAAACCTCAGTTCCCTGAAGAAGATAAAAGAAATAGCAGCTCCTCTACGTGAGGAACTGGTTGTGCTTTCTAATCTGTTGTCCGGTAATGATAATGGGCAGCTAATTTCTCAAGTGTCCTTGGAGGAGGGTAGTGGAAAGCATGATGAGCTGATAATCACTATGCCAGCACAACTAAAAGATATGTCAAAAGATGAATTGATAGACTATTTCAAGGCTAAGATGATCGAAATGAAAAGATACCACGAGTCCAAGGTACTGGAAATGACTGAAAAGTGTTTTAGTCTGAAGCGAGAATACCCGAAGGAAAGAGGATCTTCATTGACCGTACGAAAGGACAAGGACTTTGAAGGATTGAAGAAAAAAATCCCCGAGGTAGTCTCGAAGTTAGATGACCTTTTGCTGGAAAGTAACAGCGTACCTCAATCTAATGGGGATGCTGGCAGTTTGGGCACTATGAGGGCGAGATTGGAAGATCTTCTGGCTGAAAATCACCAGCTAAGAGGCATTCTTTCTGGTAAGAAAAAAGAGGTAAAGTGTCTTCTCTCACAAATTTCTGATGACGCAATGCAAATATCTTCTTATTCTTCCGCTGAGGCGAAAGTTGAAGCTTCCATTTCTGAAGAGGTATACAAATGTATTATCAAGGAGATGATGGTGAGCATGCACCATATTTCTGGCAATTTGTATAATCAGAAAAATATTAGGGAAGATGTTAATGGAATTGCTCACGTAGCTGAATGTTCGTGCCAATCTGAATTTGAGAATTTGAATACGGAGTCTGCTATTTTGCAAGGGTTGGATGGGATGATATTTGCAGAAATTTTGAAAGATGCTAAGGAGAAATTATGTCACTTGAATTTCTCGTATATTAATGAAATGAAGCTCCGAGTATCACTTGAATGGGAAGCAATGGAAAGAGAAAGTTCACTGGAATCGAAAATTTCAGAGAATGAAAAGCTAAAGCAGGAGACAACACAGTTGGCAGTGTTGGTGGAAGAAAAGGAGAAATTAGCTCAGGAAACAGCTAGTAAATTGTCTATACAGATGAAACAATGCGAAATAATTTCTCAAGAGCTTGAACAATTGAGAGCCGAATCAAGTTTACAGCAAATCGTAATTGCAGAGATTGATAAAGAGTCAAAACTCGTGAAAGGTAACCTTGCTCAAGGACTTGACCAAATCAAAACATATGAAACGAAGTTGAACGATCTGAATGAGAAGTTAAATTTAGCAGTCAAAGAGTTGAGTAAAGCTAATGAAGAGAATCTTGCGGCTAATCAAGAGAAGGAGAATGCTTTACTGTTGCTTGGAGTTAAAGAAAGAGAGAACTTGGAACAGCTTGAGTCAACAACTGGAACTATCCATGAATTGCTGAAGAAAGTAGCTGACTTTGAACAGAGTATATTAGAAGACATTCAGAGGAAAAACATGAGGTACGTACTAAAATTCATCTACTTTATTGTTTACCATTATGACACGTACAGTTCTTTATGTGGGCTGCTAGAAGCTGCTATAGAGGGCTTCATGTGGTTTATCTTGTTCCTTAGCAAAAATCTTGAAGCTTTCAGCGCATGTTCTAGATTATATCTAGTACTGTAGAATAACCACTCTTTATTATCCAACCTTATGTTACATGTGCTTGACTTGTAGGATTTACATTATTTACAAAATGTCTTGGGGAGAAAATTGAATAAGTTTGTCCAACGATAGAAATTCTTTCTCTGGCTTTTGGTAGACAAAGGGAATGGAACAGTCAAGTTGATGATCCCTTAAATATTGCAGAAGTGGGGGAAGCAAGGCTGCTTTATTGTCTTTGGTACATTGAACTAGGCTCTGATAGTTTGATGGGAAGTTAACCTGGCACATCTATTGTCGGTATCGCCCATCACATCTCTGAGTAATCCTTTAGTGAATCAAACAAAGGACTGGTTTATCTTGAACGAATGGGAGTCATCTTTGCCAAAAGCTAAGGAATTCTTCTCTTGTAAATGAAAATAGTATCCCGAAAAAGTCGAGACGTGGAAGTGCCATCTGGTAAAATATTCTTCTCAGGACTCAAAATCTGAACTAGACATTAGGGGAACAATCTCGGGTGGTGAATTAGCTGTCTTATTGAGTTATGCATGATTGCTAATATTTATATATCTGGAAAAGTGAAAGCCACATCTCTTTGCAGCCCATATTTTGTCTTTGCTTTTCTTTTAGCATTTAGATGAGCTGCATTTGGTTAAAGAGAGTTGACTGACCAAGCTGCTGTGCTGGATCAGTTATTTGGTGGAACTATTCGAAATAGCTTTTAAGGTTGAATATAGGGCTCTCATAAGAAAGAACCAACATTCTCCAGAATTAGGACGAAAAACTTCCAGGAAAATGTTTTCCGAATTTTCCGGCGTTCGGTTCACGGAAAATAAATTAGTCAAGGAAAACATTTTTCGCCAATGGAAAAAACGCATTCAGAAGTGGAGAAAATATTATCCGCTTTTCAGAAAGCGGAAAACATTGTCCATATCTTCTTCACCTCACTTTCTTTCACCAAACACCGTTACCTCTTATTTTTATTTTTTCTTTTCTTTTTTTTAAATGAAGTTTTTAATTTTTTTTCTCTTTTTTTTCCTTTTCTTTCTTTTTCTTTTTGTTCTTCTTCGACCGGCGACCGACCATAGGCCTCGCCCGAGGTCGGCCAAGGTCGCCAGAGTCTCGCCGACCTCCGGCGACGTCGCCGGAATTTGGCAAGCTCGAGCCCGCTGGTCTGTGGCGAGGCTCAAGCTCGCCTATGGTCGGTCGCCGGCTGGAAGCAAAAAGAAAAAGAAAGAAAAGGGAAAAAAGAGAGAAAAATAATTAAAAATTGACTTGTTTTTGGTAATTTTTCCCAAAAAATCAAATTAGACACCAAACTACATAAATTATTTTCTAGTTCATTTTCAGATTTCAGTCGAGCACCGAAAAATATTATCATTTTCCTAATTTATTAAAACCTCGCATTTTCCGTATAACGAACGGAGGCTAGAAATGAGCTAGTTTCCCTGCATCCCGAGTGTTTTGATTTTCACACCAGAAGACACCCTAGGAACTTGTTCCATTGCTTATACCCAAGCTGGCGAAACATCTCCCACATTTGCTGGAGAAAGATGGAAACCTTCCTATAATTTATGGACAGGTTGCAGGCTTAACAGTAGTAATGGATAATGCGGTTGAGGGGCTTCCCGAAGAAACGCTCATCTCAGTTCTGTGACCTCATTAGAAAAAAGAGGGCCTAGGTAAGTTCCATCTTCAATCTGAAATACATTACCTTCGTTCCGAAGGGAAAAAACGGAGATTACTTGAAAGACTATCACGTTCAATAGTCATTTTGGCGGAAAGAAGCTAACCGGGATCTTGCAATTAATTTAATACGAAAAATCTGAAGAAATAAACAAAGGACAATGAAGAACATCAAGGATTTATGTGATTCGATCCGAGTATCGGTATCTATATTCACGGAGAGAGCCTGCAGCAAATAATTCACCATAATCGGAGAATCAAAATTACAATTGCTCACTCACATGCTCGAGTATTCTTCACACCTAAATTATACATAAATTTCAAGTGTTTACAAATAAACAAATCATTTGGTTGTAAAAACCTTGTGACACAAAATTCACCGTATTCATGTCTGGGCGTCCAAAAAAGAAGAACATCTTGTCCTTTCTCTCCTCTTCGAGCGGCTCGTTTTCTTTGAAGAGAGCTCACGCTAGACATGGCCACGGTTCGAACCGCCGGTTCCGGTTCGTGGCCATGTATGAACCGGTGGTTCCGGCTAGTTAGTTGCCAGCCGTTCGGAACCGGCCGGTAGAAATTAAAAAATAAAAAAATAATGAATTATCAAACTATGAAATAATGAATTATTCAATATAAAATATAATCAAAATGTACATTGTAATCAAATTTGAGGAAAAAAGAGTTTCTCCACTTATCTGCAGTTTTTTGGAATCGGGCCCGGAACCGGCGGTTCCGGGCCGGTTCCGGTTCCGGTTCCGATTCCGAACCGTGAGCCCGGTCAACGGGCCGAAACCGGCCCGTGGCCATGCCTAGCTCACGCCACCCTAATCCCTTCCTTGTTCTTCGTGCGGCTCCTTCACCAAGGCTAGAGAACCGAAACACTTTCTTCACTGGGCGGCACTTTCAAGAAAAAGCAAACCTAGTGTTTCTTTTTTTTCTCTCTCGTTACTCCTTGGGTCCACAACCAAAATAGTTATAAATAGAATATGTGAGCCCGTTTTTGTCTTGTAGCGGTTGGTCCTTTTCACGATAAAAAGAAAACCCTTTCTGTCTAGAGAAGACAAGTGAGCAACAAGTTCATGGTTAAACTTGAAGACATGATCTGGATTGAGCCGGTCCAGCATCTAACTCGGTGATTAACCCGTATCATATTGGTCCCTGGTTTTTGGGACCGGGGATCAACCCTGTTGAGCCCGGGACTAAAGACTGAACTAATCCTGTGGGCCTGTTCTAGTTCCAGGGTCAACGTGAGATCAACCGTTTCTTTTTTTTTTGGATTTCTTAAATAGAGAAACATACTCTTTGAAATTACGTATCCATCGATAATATGAGATTGAACGACCAAATTGTGAATACCGGTACAAATCACATAGAAATCTAAGATAAAGCCACAACAGAAACCTCCATTTGCCAAAAGTAACAAACCATAAAAGACAAACACGTGAAATAAAATTAAACGATAAAAATTTCAAAATATATAACACAAATCATGAATTATACAACTTTGAGATGCAAATGTTGACTGCGAATAATGATCAATCTAAATGGCTGAGATCCTGGAGTCTTCATTTATGATGATCGACATTGGCGAAGAATAAACGAGAGTGAGAGAGAGAAAAAGAGATCATACCGGAGATCGAGAAGGATCAAAGATTGAGGAAGAGAGTGAGAATGAGACTTGGAGAGAGGGAGAGGAAAAGGTGAAAGAAAAGGAAGGCAGGGCACTTTAGGTTATATACATAGGGTTTGGAAAAAAAAATTTACAGAGTTCGTCGAGTTGGATCAATCCTAAAACCTCAAGTCTAAGGACCAACCCACACAACACAGGTTTTAGCGACCCTAGGACTAGGAACAAGCCTAGTCCCTAGAACTGGACCACAACCAGCCAGGTTGGGCCGATTCAGGGTTGACCCTGCTCATCCCTAACTTGTCTAACCAAATTGAATTCCGTAAATAACTCAAACTCAAGGTATAATTTAACAGAAACAAGATAAAATCTGCCTCCACTTGAAATTTCTGTTGCATCTGCTTTGTCAATGACTTTGGTCAGGGGAGAAAAAGTTTAAAGGTGTGGCAAAACATTGCTAAGGTGAGTAAGGAGACACGAAGAGAATATTGTTTGTATGAAGCCTCTGTTGCCATAATCTATTTGGCAGGAATCTAGAGAAACAAATTACCAGATCAAGAGAAGAAGAAGAGAGTCTGAGAGAGCGACCATAAGGGCAGATTTTAGGGGTATTTTCGTCAATTAGCTTCAAAAAAGATGCGCCGTTAGCCATTTAAGGTGGAAAATTAGAGTTTCCCTTGGTTTTTTATGATGTATAGCTTTTTGAGGAATTGGTGGTAAGTAATACCCTTGAAGAGTGAAGGTTGCATTTAGCAGCTGTTAGGATCAGAGATTGAATATTTGGATACCTAGTGCTGAGGGAAAACAGGAAAAATGTCAGAGAAGTCTTAAACTTATTGTATTTGTGTCAATTTAGTCCTAAACATTTCGATTGTATCAATTTAGTTTTAAACCTTTTGACCTAGTGCCATTTCAGTCCTTCTGGCTAATTTGGCCGGATATTGCTAACGTGGACACCGGTTGACCTTCATAGCACTGCCAGCACTGATGTAAACAATTTTTGATAATTTTTTTTTATTTTTTATTTTTTTTCTTTTTTCCTTTTTTCTTCCTTTTGCTGGTGACCAACCACCGGCCGTAGGCCATGGCCGCGCGGGTTGCCCTTGCCTGGGGACGGGTCACCGTCACTCTCCAAAAACAAGGCCCAACCAGGCGAGGGCTCCCCTCGCCAAATCTAGCAAGGCCGCCTAGCCTGGGCAAGGGCCAGTCTTGCTAGATTTGGCGAGGCTCGGCAAGAGTCAGCCTCGCCCATGCCAGACCTAGCGAGGGGAGCCCTCGCCGGGTGATGCCCAACGAGACCGCCTTGGCCTGGGCAAGGGCCGACCTCGCTAGATCTGACAAGGGGGGCCCTCGTGGGACCTCACTTATGGCAGGCGACGGCGGTCCTCGTCCAAGCGAGCCTAGCTCGCCCGATCATGGGCGATGGCCAGCCATCACCTGTGGGAAGAAGAAAAAAAATCAGAAAAATAATAAAAAAATATTGAAAAAATATTAATTTATTATTAAGATTGTCCACGTCAGCGTCGGCGGTGCCACATAGACCGGCAGTCGTCCACATCGGCAATGTCCGGCCAAAATCAACTGGAAAGACTGAATTGGCACTAGATCAAAAGATTTAGGACAAATTTGCACAATTAAAAAGTTTATAACTAAATCAGCACAAATGCAATAAGTTTATGACTTTTCTGACACTTTTTCCATAGGAAAACGTGCTTAAATTCTCCAAATCATTGTTCCTGTGATTTTCAAATCCTTGAGAAATGCTAGGAAGTCATTGGAATGTAATGTTCTCTAGCAAAGCTGCCTTTTGAACACAACATTAATCTTCTAAGTTGAAATCATTTCGTCACACATATATAGACTATTCTGCATTCTAATAAATTGGCAGGTGCAGTAACTCAGACATACTTCTGCATTCCAAACAGTGGTGCTTTTTCACCCTTGAACCCTGACCTCCCTGTCAATGAAATGTCCTTATTCTAACTTCAAGGCTCACCCGTTGTTGGGACTCATTCTGGATGCAACAATTTTCCATCTGCAGATCACAAATGTCTGTACTCTTCCTTTTTTATAACTTGAGCATGCAAGTGCGGTAGCTCTTGCTGACTGTTTAGCTAGGGAAACTATAGGGTTTCTCTTAATTTCCTCAACAATAAACCTGTTAAATACTTATTCAAAGTGGTTTAGTTCACTATTTTATTCATTTTTAGCTTGTTTAACGCATAAGATTTGTGGTAGGCTGGTGTCTTGATCTGCAAGTTTTGTGGTGACTTTGGACTAAAGTTGTTTGTGTTTCGATTCTCTCTAGGTTGGGTACTGTGGGGTCCCAACTGAGTTCCCTTAGGCAGAAGGCTGTTGCAATTAGAAGAATGGGATCTATTCAGCAGCAGAGACTTGAAAGAAGATGTTCAGACCTCCAAAAAGCTGAAGCTGAGGTAAGCGAATCACAAAGCTAGTACTTTCAGTAAGCAAGACTTACCATTGCATTTTTACTTGATATGCAAGTCATTGTATGTTACACTGAAGATCGCCTTTAGTTGCACGTCTTGCTTTCATTACTGAAAACAGGTTAGTAATTAACTGACTTCTTTTCCTGGAAAATGCCAGAAATTAAGGGTGCGTTTAAATCTAGAGGAGCTTATCAAGTATTTGTTTTCATTGAGCATTTTCGGAGGATTCATTTTAATTTTCCACTTATAAAGGAAACTTTGTCTGATATTTTCTTTGTTTGCCGATATTTTGCAGTTTCACATAGCTCTTTAATTGTGACTGAAATTTTGAAAATAAATTTAGTGTGAAAAAATATCATCACAAGATCTCTGGTTGTGTTTGAGTGCTGTCTTGCAATAGGTTTTTGGTTATTTACGTGTTTAATAATGAATTTGGACACTATTGGGCTTTCTTGTTCTTCGTTAAATTTCCTTAGATGAATGTCTTTCCTTTTTGTCCGGGCTTGAGCTTTCTGGGGCATTTGTTTTCTCATTCTCACTTTTAGAGTTGAAGGGCAAATTGATATGGGAGATTCAGCTGGGTGCATTATTAAGGGTGGAAATATATTGCATCTGATAGACATCACCAGTGGAGAAAGTTAAGAACGTTAATTAAATCCGCAGGTCGATCTCCTGGGAGACAAGGTGGATACACTTTCAAATCTCCTGGAGAAAATTTATATCGGTTTGGATCACTACTCTCCAATCTTGCAACATTATCCTGGAGTAAGTTGATTTTGCTCTTTGTCATTGCTGTATATGTTTTTAAATTTCGGTGGGATATAAAACATAGGTGGGATTTCATTTAGATAGTATAAAGTTAATAATATCTGAAGTGTACAACCGGTAAAAAAAAACTTGTGGGCACATTTATCACTTAATCTGATGTTACTAAGAGGAATCATCACATATTCAAATCTGTCATATTTTCCATGTGTAATAGATCTGATGTTACATAGGACAGGAATGTCAATGGCTCTACATATGCATCTAGTGCAAGACATCTGCAGCACTGAAGATGCTAAAAGTCCTTGTCCAGGGAATTAAGATCGTCCTTGAATTTGCTCTTGTTGGGACAAAGGTGCTGGGCGAGCTTGAGCAGTTTGAGAATGTGTGGCTTGTGGAGGTGGGTTAGTAGGATTGGCAGGTGGATTCCTGGAGGAACCCAAACTAGGCTACGGGCAGGACGTGTTGCTCTATAGCAATATTTTTCCTTGTCTTGTAACAATCTTAGGGTCTGATTATTCATCATAGTATAAACTAGTCCTAATTTTTGTTACCGCAAAGGGCTTCTGAGCCAATGCCCGTCTGGCAAAATAAAGCCATCAAAAAACAACCTTCCAATATTAGCCCAACCCTCCCATTCGCTAGCCTTACTCTTCGAAAAGAAAAAAAAAGAGAGGAAAGATCATCTGATTGTGCTGCTGTCGTCTTTCCAATGAAAAGATTTCCTTTTTTTTCTCTGCTTTTAGGGGTAGTGTCATTCTATTTTGATTTCGGACTTGGAGGTATTTTGTAAGTGAATTTGTGGGCGAGCGAACTATAAAGAAAAATGCTCTCAGAAAAATGATATGTCCATCTTCCGGGCAGTGTAAAGATTGTATTGACCTACCATCTGACATATACTTCAGATGGAATTTCTAATCCTTCACTCGCTGGCTCTCCCTTGCTTCTTGCAGATTATGGAGGTCCTGAAGCTTGTGAGAAGAGAGTTGACTGGGGAATCTTTAAAGTCAACTTGACGTATTGTCTGATAAGTCGATGCTTCGAACAGAAGCTCATACTGATAAAACAGTACAGGTATGCATTCAAAGCTACATTAGTTCTTGTTAAATGGGAATCTGGATGCTGAACCGTCTACAAGGTACCAAAAAAGTTCCTTAACAGCTGTTCTCTTGGATCTGAAGAGTAGTTCACTCCTCTGTATGGTTAGATTTTGAGCATTCTGTAGTCAATATACTTCGCCTCCTTGTTGTTTGCAGATCCTGTGTTCTGGTCTCCTTCTTCAGCGTCCGCGTCTTTTGTCATTGTGGCAGTTGTGCAGCACCTCCAGTCAACAACTCGTCATGCTGCTGCAGACATGGATCTTTTCTGTGGATAGTATGCCTTCATTAGACGATTATAGGAAGATTATGATGTCATAGGACAAATGGCTTCTGAAGGAACAAGGCAAAATGTAGATGTCTTGCACAGACCCGTGTGATTTAAGGAAGATGCCAGCTGATTTTGATCTACAAAGGTGATGCATTTTTTTCGGATGTCGGGTAGTGTTCTATCCACGGAGCCAAATCTTCAGCTCCCCCTTTTTTCTTTCTTTTTTTGTTTTGTTCTACCACTTGCTTATGCAGAGTTTTCGTCTTTTCTTTTCCTGATGCGGTGCACGAAAACGTAGATTAGATAGCTCCTATTCTGGTGGTGAATGACTTAGGCAAAAGTTCAAGTTTGGCACATATATCAAATTACATCTGCAGCTACTCCATATTGTAATAATGAATTACCATATTGCCAATTCTTTCCAAAACTATCCCCAATCTCTCCACCTATCCACACACAAGAAAATAGTAATAAACCCCCAACACGCTGTGTTTTTATTTTGTTTCTGGTTAATGTGTTTCCTTCCTCTAACCCCAAATAAAGGAAAAGCGATATGCTCGGCGATTCCATTTTACTTGGGCAGGATTGAAACTGAATATAACCTGAGATTCCAACGAGCAATGTACAAAGATTTCATTAAACTATACTAAATGTTAGATCAGCATAAGAACGATTGCAGCATGTTTGGTATTCAAGAAATCAAAACATTCACGATCCTGTTTGTGTACTCAACTGATTCTGCCCTTGCAAGAAAGGCGTTGTAGTATAAAAGTAGTCTCTTGGAAGCAATTCTTTTCATCGGACAGTGACTCAACGTAGAAATTCTTGAGATAGTATCCTTCAAGTAAATCAACAAGGTACATGATAAATGTGCTAGCTTCGGTGTAAATAGTAAATACTGAGATGCAATATTGTCGAATTTTCGCCTATCGCCAACGGTGAGTTTTCATTTGGACAAGGAACCTATCGGAAAGGAGGCGAAGAACATTTCGGAACAAGCTGGACCTATTGTCGCGATCCTGGCAAGTGGCCTCGGTCCAAGAACTGTGCAGCAGCGGGTACTATTACGTTCATTCGAGTAGCACACTAGCCTATTCGAGCAGACAAACGCCCTATGAGTCGCGGGCTCATGCAAAATCAAGTGATTAGGATTCGGGATTATTTGTAGGAAATCTAGAACGCGATAGGCACGTGAAGAAAGTGGTCTACTCATGCATTGACCATGTTCACCAACTAGTGTTCTCCCTAATCGGCCACAGGCAGCACGTCCTACACAAGGTTGGCCCGAGCACGTCAAGCACGGGACACCAGTCTCCTCAACTTTTACAGAGAACATCCCCATTGCACAACATCATTAACCGCAAGAACTGCCAGTCAACGGTTTCGGTAAGAGAAATCAACACGGAAAATAAGCTCTACTTTAAGCACCAAGTCCGCCGACGTAATGGAGTCCCTAGCTCAAACCTTAGTTAGCATAGAACTCGTTATTTGAGCACGAGAGCGAATGAAGACGCTTGTACATTTTGCTCGCTTGGTTGTTTCTATTTCCATCTTCTTTTTCCTTGTTTGGGCGAGAAATAAGCAACTCCATCGAGTCGGACTCGCGACACATTCCACCTAACGACCCTTTCACTGGCGACATAACAGACTAAACCAACGCGCTTCTCATCACTATTCGGGAAAAAGAGAATGAGCAAGAGAATGAAAAGAAACATGCTATATTGTAACGGAGAAAATTGTCTACAAAGTCATAAACTATTATACTTTTGCCAATTCAATTATAAACATTTTAAGTTTGCCAATTGAGTCCTAACATTTACACTTCTTGCCAATTGAGTCCTAAACCTTTACACTTCTTGCCAATTGAGTCCATCCGGCCAATTTTGACGGGAAATCGCTAATGTGGATGCTGGCCGGTCATGTGGCGCTAACGTGGACATTTTTTAATAATATTTTAATAATTTTCTGATTTTTTTAATGATTTTTTTTCTTCTTTTTTTTTCTTTTCTCTGTTTTTTTTTAGGGTTTTGGAGTTGGCTAAGGAGGGTGGCCGGCCGACCCTCGCCGGCCACAGGCAAGGGCTGTGACACCCTCAACGGCCAAAGTGAGGGCGCGCGAGTCCTCGCCCAGATCCGGCAAGGGTCGACGACCCTCGCCGGCCCCAGGCGAGGGCATGGGGCCACCATGTGTCTCACCTGGGGCCGGTGAGGGCTGCCAAGCCCTCGCCTAGCTCGACACCCTCGCCCAAAGCCGGTGAGGGTCGACCGGTCACCCTCGCCAGCCAACTCTAAAACCCAAAAAAGAAAAAACAGAGAAAAGGAAAAAAGAAAAAAAAAACCATAAAAAAATTCAAAATATTGTTAAAATATTATTTAAAAATGTCTTCATCAGCGTCACGTGACCAACCAGCATCCCTTTAAGCGATTTCCGGCCAAAATTGACCGAATGAACTCAATTGGCAAAAAATATAAAAATTTATGACTCAATTGACAAAAATGCAATAGATTTAAGACTTTTTGAACAATTTTCTCTACTGTAATGTGATATGCTCTTTCAGTCATTTTCATGTTCTTTATAAGTTACAATAATGTACTTCGTACAAAACATGGATCTCCGGAGACAAATGGTGAGAAAGAGGCCATAATCATATTGGTTTCTACAACTTCACACGGGGCTCTCCGATCCAGGAGCTGAGTCACTGGAACAGAAGACTTTAGTTATATAAAAGAAAAAATCAGGAGATGGGTGAACAAAAACAAAGCAAAATGCCTAATGGATCGGGCAGTCAAAACACTCCCGCTAGCGATTGGGGGCCATAGCAACAACTGCATCCCCGCCACGTCGCTTCTTCTTCCCCTCCCCGTGCCTCGAGCGCCTTGGAGCCTCATCCTCGCTTTCGCTCTCTTCATTCCTTAAGCTGTTATCTTCATGATGAGCCCGTGGTCCTGGTTGATGTGATCTCTCGTGATCAACACCTTCACTCGGTCCCATTGACTCTTGATCCCTACCCTGGTCTGAACCTGCACCAGGAGATGGCCTTTGATCTCTCTTCACTAACCTATTCAGGTTTTGAGAAAGTGGAGGTGGAAGAGCTCCAGGCATTCCGGCGGGTCGGCCAGCTCTTGCAGGGTTTATACCTGCAGGGCCCATTCCTCCCATAAAGGGACCACGTCCAGGACCCATCATCATCCCAAACCCACCAGTAGGAAAAACTGAGCCAGGTTGCATTGGTCGTCCAGGAAACATCATGCCGGATGCAGGACCTGAAAAGTCCCCCGAAAACCTCGGCCCATAAGGAGGGAAAGCACGGGGACCCACACCAAAGAGATCGGGCATTCCAAAACCATCAGGAGCAACACCTCCGTAAGGAAAACCATCAGCACCCATCATTGCAGGAGGAAAAGGCCGCATCCCGGGGATTGGCCGGGCTCCACGGGCTAGTTGCATTGGCGGCCACATCATTCCCCTGCCCCTTCCTCTAGCAAGAGATGCTGGTCCAAGAAGCGGACCATAGCTCTCCTCCTCCTCCTCACTTTCTTCCTCTTCCTCTTCTTCTTCTTCGTTGTCATCAAATGGAACGATATCGGGATTCTCTGCCCCGTTATCAGGATTTAATCCTTTGGCCTTCTCCTCCTCCCGTTTAGATTCTGCCGCCAGAGAAATCGGCTGTAGCCATGATAAAACAGGGATTTCAGTTAAGAGTTCTTTAAATTTATTTGACGCAGTTGGTAAATATCGAGCAGGGATGCATGATAATCGTGTATGTTCTGCTCCCGATTATTTTCCGTTTAACACCACTGTTGTTTCAAACTCCATTAACTTCTTCTAAGATGATTATGTATGAAAGTCGACCAAAAATATGACAAGGATATGAAGTTATGAACTTACTCGTGGATAGTCACATTTTCTCACATACGAGTTAATTGTAACATTGTTTATATCCTCCTCTTTCACTATCATAATATTTTACTTCCTTCATTACAACCTTTCAGCCAAAGATTCATCAGATTGCTGCCTAAGCTACAGCATACTGTGAACTGCCTAAAGTTAGATCATGACAATGGAAGAGCCCAGTGTCATCATGTCATGACTATAAATTGCCCACTACTCCCACCAGATTTTCTTAAGTCATTTCATCTCTAAAATGTTCAGAAAGCATTACACCTTTACACGTAAAAATAGGTACTTTCATTAAGATTCACAAACCAGCCTTCTCTTTAATAGTTATATCTCTATCAATATTTTAGTTTTTAAAAAGACTCGCTTTTCAAGAGGTCAAGCAGATATGGCTTCATGGGAAATACTTTTGTTCACACGCAATTAAAACACATCTCTTGCAACGGAAGAAATACTTCAACTGAAAGTTTCTTTCAAGAAAGATTTCCTATTTGATCATGACACCCAACAAGTTCAACTTATTGCGTTAGCAAGCTAAAATAAAAGGAAAATGTTTATTTTGAACCTTGCTAAAGCACTACATGCAATATTTCAACAGTAAAGCATACCATGAGTTCACTATCGGGCTCTAGATAAAGCAAGGATGCCAACTGCTCACCAACAGAGGGCTCTAGCTCCTGACAATCTCTGCTGATCTGCATTCACAAGATGCTGGATGAATAAGGAAATAAGCCGAAAGTTTAACTGCAATAGCCAGAATCCAACACTACTGCATCATCTTTTCTTTTCTTTTTTTCTACCAATGATAATAGCAAAGGAAATTATATAATGTTATCTATTCTCCTTGGGTGAAGATGATCAAGGTGTATGGCCAAAGAAAAACAAAAAAGAGATGATCAAGGTGATATGGCTCTCTTTTCAGCAACTACTATACTAAGGAAGTGGCCTCCCTTTTTCATTGGTGTCTGGAAACGCATTTGAGAAGAATGGGATTCTTTGACACAATGGATCAGTTTTGATGGACATAGCTGATTCTGGCACAATCTAGTGGGGTGATGCATCTATTAAATATGATTTTCCTTCTCTCTTCACTTTATCTGTTAATCAGGATGCATTAATGAATGATTTTCGTGCTTTGGATCAGGTTGTGCCTTTTGTATTGCAGTGTTTGTCAGGCACTACTTCTCTTCGAAATGCCAAGTCACAGCACTCTCAGGGAAGACAATCTTATATTCTACACTTAATAAAAAAAAAAAGAGTACTCTGTGAATCTAATTGCTTAGCTATTGGTAATTTCTGCCAATTCTTCCAGTCAATTTCCTGTTAAAGCTATGTGGCTTTCCAGTGTACATTCTAAGATTATTTTTTTCTGCTAGATCGTGACTCGGGATAGAATCATCATCAGTGGTAATCTATAAGAGACAAAATTTCCTTTTAATCTAGTGTTTGCTTGGCTAAAACATCAAGAGAATCCACTGAAGACATAATTCTTCACTTGATTATGCTCAACCATCCTGGAGATTCATTTTCAGCTCTGCTGGTTATTCCAAGAACCTTTCTTCAGGTATTTCAGAATTTTCCTACCAGGTCTCATCATTCCAGGAGATCCTGAATTGCTGCCCACGTATGGCTCATGTGCTGCATTTGAGAGAACAGAATAAGAGACTGCTGTAAAGATCCAGGTCTCCATCTTTTTTTGTTGCTTTCAACTTTTAAGTAGTCAAGGACATACTCGACTAATCCTTCTAATCATTGTGTTACATTGCTACTTTATTTTTGGTCCACTTTCCATTATCAGTTCTTTAATCGCACCAAATGTGTGTTTATCTGTCCTTATGGCTAGTCTGTTTAAGATCTTTTCTGATTATTTACTTCTCACTAGTCAACGTTTTTCTATATCATATACTCCTGAACAAAGGATTAGTATCGAAACTGCAGTTTCTTCCTTGCACAAAAGTCCATTCAGAGAAAACCTTGCATTTGATCATTTCCCCTAATTTCAAGATTCTAAGAAACACTGTCCCCAACATCATTAAAAGGGCACATCCAAATTGCTGCACAACCCATAAGATTCTGGAAGGTACATCAGTCTTGTTCATTATGCTTAGACAAAGACAATCTCTTTAAAATTTTTGCCTAACTACTTTTCTTCAGATTCATATTTTTCTTGAACCCAAAAGGTCAAAACCCTTCCTTTCACTTCCTTACAATGACAGGCCTCCCACTTTCAATCAACCTTCGTTTTGGGCCACTTTCCAACCTTACTTTCTGCAGCACTCACGACAACAGATCTAAAGCTCTTCATGCTCTCTGCAATTGTCTCACTACCAACATAATCATCTTTCCCAGTCTAACCTTCTGTTCCAGTTAACTTCTGTCATCTCTACAACCTTCAATTCCTTCGAAGGTAGATCATGGAAATAGTTTCACCTCTCAAGGCCCTCACAGATGGAAGCAGCGAAAAGCAAGTTCAACTTTGATGTACTCAAATCCTCGCGACAACCTCCACCTTTGTGAACTCTACCGGCCCCTGAATGGCAAGCTCCTCAGCCATGGAAGAAATATGGTAATTCTGGGAAAAAAAGGAAGACACTTCAATGCTCCACACCAAAAGCATGGTCCATGAATAGGCTTAGCTGGCCCGGCCCAAGACCGGATAAATTTGAACACAAAAATCCTCTTCCAAGATACTTTTGGCACCACATGTCCTTAAGCTGAAATCAGAGACCCTAATCTCCAGCTTGTCACTAAAAATCAGGCTGGTTAGATCTTGGGAAAAAAGTCTTCACCAGCCCAATGTTCTTTTTAAAGACATTGCCCTTGATCCTCCTAGTTTCACCACCAAGTGCAACGAAATACTTCAAAATCACTTCACCACAAAAAAAATATATAATAATAATAAGACTCTAAGGGATTTGGCTCGGCAGTTCTCCAAGCCTTCCTAACCAATCTTGCTGAGACTTGAGATCCTACTGCAGCCTCCTTGTCTAACAAACATCATCCAACACCTAGCAGTTTCAGATAATCTGAGAATACTCACTCTTTCCCCTTGAATCATGGACTTACTTTTCAACGTTAGCAATCATGAGATACCTGAAGAGCTTAACTCTAATCAACATTCACTACATCTATTCAAGCCCAACGGGTGAGAGGCTGGGTGCACACGAGAGAGAGAGAGGGTCACTGCACACGAGAGAAAAAGAATTATAGTGCACTCACAAAAATTAACTAAAGTTGGACATATGAACCAATATTAATTCTTGAAAAGCACAAAGGACAACACTACATTAACAACTCACGAAATAACAAGCAGAAAGAAACCCCCTAATGAGCTAGTTCTAATTCCTCGGGTCTAGGATTATGCTTAAACAGTTTAAATTGTACACAGCCCTTGTCATCCAGACTCCAGTAAATACACTTGAAATTTCAGAAGTTAGAGATAAAAACAAGAATTTAAGAGCAAAAGCAAAAACACTAGGAAACACCAGCAAATAACTTTCAATTCCACCTCAGCCATGCAAAGAAGCTTAAGTTAAGGGTACATATTCTACCTTGACTGGTAAGTTCTCATTGTATGGGTTCCTCAAATGGCGAGTCTTTTGAAAGGACAATTCACACAGCTGCAGACAGTTAAATTAGAATCAGCCAGTACACTATATCTTGTCAGACACTAAAAGAATAAAGTAGAACTTTCTATATGTACAGTTTATGCAATTTGTGCAATGTACTTCTGGTAAATACTACAGCTGAGGTCATGATTCACAATGTATGCACATATGAAAAAATGAAAATCCCTCAACAAAAAGAAATGGAAACAAAACGTTTCTCGTTCTTGCAAACTAAAAGCCTCCAACAAAAAGGTTTTGTATCTCTTTTTGAAACTATCCACGTTCTAGAAATTTTTTATGCTGAAACATCTTACAAGCTACACAATATCTCCTCAACCAATAAGGGCAGAGAGAGGTAGAAAGATAAACAAAGAAATTCCTGGCTATAAGATCGCCTAAGATATTGACGTGATGGAGTGAACAATTCCAAGATAAGCAATCAGATAAAGTTCTGACAGTTTGGCTTAATTACCGAATCACGGAAATGGTGCCCATGCTTATTAGCAGAGGAAGACCATGTGCAGCAAGATAAAAAAGGAAGGGGCAAGTTAAGTGCACGAAAAATAAGCATAAACTACGAATGCACCTTTAACCACTTCACTGAGAAATTTCGCCCATAATGTGCAGTTCCATGAGCATATTTCCAGTTCCCCCCACTCACAGCTCCACCAATTCTTGATGTCATCTTTGCACAGCCCTGATAAACCACCCAATTTTGCATGTTAGCTATACAAAAGAACAAAATAACACAATATCAGACAAATCTGACAGCCGAATTGCCTTTGTACAAAATTTAAACATGAATAGCAAAAAAAGTACAGCTTGTCGAGCAGAATAAGTCAAACTACCTGAAAATGACGTGTACGGTTGACAGAAAAGATCAAAATCACATTTTCAGCAGAGTCAAATGCCTCATTCAGTTTAGCCTCATTGCTCCTCTGAGTTGCCCATACTCCTTGTTGTACAGATAACTCCAGATTTTCACGGTTACAACTTTTAACAATGAAATACCTAAGATTCCACATTTCAAAATCCAAATACATTTATAGATTATACATCTCAAAATTAAAATGATATCCTTATAACGACAATGCAGAATGCTAAATCTACAATGTGCAAGCAATAGACCACGGCGGAGAAAGACATCATTCAAGTGATTTTCAAGGAACTGTTCAGCAGTTAAAGATTATGTTACCCTCATGATCTTTTTCAGGTGTCGACCAAGTCATATCTAAACACTGCATTTTTAAGAAACGTAACCAGTACATGTAACTACTGACTTTGGAAGGGCTGAAAAATGTAATTTCTCTGCAGTTTGATCAATGAAATCCACAGAAGGCTTCAAGCCAACCCAGAAGCATTTTAAGTAAGAAGGATATCTTATCCACTAGATAATGTTAAATCTGAGATTTTACCATCTAACAAACATAGATACACTGCACTCTGTACTGCAGTAAAGTTTTCTACCAGATTTCGAAAAGCACAGGACCTCCATCCTCATGGACATATAACAGGCTCATATTCATTTTAAAACAAGGTTCTTTTGGACTGATGAGTTATGGGCTCTAAAAATTTCTACGCAGATTGAAGTTAGCTGCAACATTTAGGTGGGTACTGGGATCACATTAATAGAATGGAGAGACTACACAGATACTTAAGCACTGAAACTAAAGAAGTGCTTCTGTCAAAGCATTATGGAGGATAACGTCTTAGGAAAAATAAGCAGACATTTCAGGAAAATGATACTGCGATTTAGAGTACAGAGATTTTATGCAAGTGACTTAGACAACCCCAGTAGTATCCCTAATCTCTACCACTCATTGAAATATATTCTAAGAGTGCCTAGTTGGAGCAGCTTTTAAGAAAGTCCTACCAAAGTGAAAGGGAAAAATATTACTTAGGTTTAAAAAACAAAAGAACTTCTACATCATCTTAAACACCAACAATTGCCAAAGTCTATATTTTGTTGAAGATTTGAGATGTACAATATCTATAAAAATCAAATTTCAAACAATAAAGGAAAAGGAAACAGTTAAAAGGTAAAAGGAAAATACACTTCAAAACATGGACTAAAATTCCCAAATAATGAAGCTCCTATAGTATCTATAATGGTCAAAAGTATAATGTTTTAGAAAAACACATTTCTGAAAACTTCAAGGTAGAATTTTGATCACAGAATAATGAAATTGTATGAACATAATGATGTGAATCCTTTCAAAAAACTTTTCTCCATTTTTCTTAGGGTAAAAACATGCCTTTCACCAAACCACACCGATGACACATCATCTTTTGCATCATGGACTTCAGGTGTGTCCTGATTTTATTCACCCAAATCTGCGTTTAAGGCAAAAAAGTGTAGTCCTACTCTTTGTTTGCAATTATCACCATATAGATTGATGAATCCACCTAGTGTCATCAATGCAAATTCTCAGTGGATCTCTCAATATGGGCAGGACTAGACCAATTTTTAAACACTGGTCATTGTTTTTCTAATAGATAGTTCATAGACTGCTATCTAATACGGCACACCCAGAGTACAGAATATCTGTTTGGACAACCAAATGGACCCTTAAGCAGCCACTTGTTCTCTAAATCATACTAAAGAAAATTTAGTTCACAGTATAATAGGTAAAGCATAGAGGGAAAAACTAGTTAACACCAATAGTATGTCACGTAAAGTTTTGAAGTCATAGGTTCGTAAGTTTTCAGGGATTAGCAAACGAAAGTCAAGAGAAAATAGTACGTCCTTGTTAATGACATTACTTGTCTCCCTCAATAGCATCATATGAATAAATGCAGTTACCACAATAAAAAGCTACTGATGCTGATAGCAAAAGAAACACATGATGATATCTTCAAAAGAAAGTCAAATAGGGAAGTTCATAGATCAACACAAGTATAGATATCCCAGAAGTGCAGATTGGATTTAATGTGAAAATTATGATTCTATGAAGAGGCTAAATTCAGCCAAACCTCCTAAAGAGGATTATTAGATATTGACAAACCTCCAACCAAAATGTCCTGGAGAAATACAAGAATGATTTACATAGAGACCTAAGACTCTGAAATCTGAACACACCTAGATACTCCTGGAGGCAAAGGAGTAGGACCTCTGCCTGCCTGATTAGGCGTGCTGATAGAAGGATTCTGTTGCTGCGTTTGGCTGAGCTGTTGTTGGGACTGCTGAACAGGCGGCTGCTGCTGCTGCTGCTGCTGTTGCTGCTGCAGCAAATTAGCAGACTCCGTCATAGAAGGTTTTACAATTGCGCTTTGATTTACAGCGTTGGTTCCTACTGAAAACTGAGCTTTTTCATTATGTTGAGCAGCGTTTGCATTACGCTGCTGAAAATATCTGTTTGAATTGCCATAATGGTACGAATTCAATTGTTGAATCTTTTGAAGGACTTCTTCCACAGGAGGTGGAGGTCCAGGTAGCTTCGCATGCCTATATCGGCAGTCAGGACCATTTGGACAAAAACCCAACTTGTACCTGCAGTCACATAACCAAAGAACTCAGACAGAGACAGTTACTATACACTCACCCAACTTTGAACACCCTCCCCATCCTAAACAAACATCTCACAGCACACTCCTGACAAGTAAAGAACAAGAAAACCCAAAAACAACAAACTAATGCTCTTGCATCGCAATATTTTCGAACAAGCTTCGGGCATATTATCGTTGTCTCGAGCTCCAAAACCCTTCCACGAGTTCACTCTGGAGAAAAAACTTCAGCAAAACAGTAATAGTTCGAAACCTCATACGATCCACTGATCCATGTTGCTAGCCAACAAAATGTCAACCATGACCAGTTATCCTCACTTCGCATGCCAAAGCTTAAAAAACCGAAACCTACCATGACACCAGCACCAGCTATACCAAAACCAATTTAAACAAATAACCTCAAACCCACTGAACACATCACGGAGGATGCAAAACCAATCCGAATCCAGACAGGATCGCAAGGCAGAGAGAAACTACCTACATGTTACACTCCTTGATATCCTCGTTGGTATGCTTGTACACGCAGTCCTGCTCGCGGCACTCCCCGTAGAGCCGGAAGAACCGGCAAATCGGCATGCGAGACTTGTCGTACTGGTGGAGGAACCCGCAGGCGTCGCCCTTCATGCACAGGCTGCGGAGCCAGTGCCGGCACACCGTCTGCCGGAAGCTCCGCCTCCCGCCGAGGTTGCCGCCGCCGCCGCCGCCGCCCCCGCCGCCGCCCCGGAGTCCGGGCCGCCGCCAGCTTGGGGGCCGCCGCCGCCTCCTCCTCCTCCTATTATTCCTCCTCCCGGCCCCCCGACGGCGGCGGCGGCGGCGGCGGAGGAGGAGGGATCGGGGTGGTGGGCGGCGGGGACGGAGGCGGAGGGGTTGGGGGGGCCGGCGTCGAGGCCGCCCTCGAAATCGAAGCTGAGAACACCGTCGGCGTCCTCCATTGCTGGGAGAACGCTCTGAGTTCCTTCAGAAAGGCGGGGTTTTTTAGGGCTTTTTGATGGCAGGGTGAGAGAGATTCTTGAGTTTTGACTCTCAGGGAGAGAGAACGTACGGCCTAGCTGAAGGAAGGAAGGAAAGAGAGAAGGAAGGAGGACGGGAGTTTTAAAGGGAATTTATTAGTTGCAAAATGCAAAATGGATTTGGGGAAGGTTTTGTTAGTTCTAATTTCATGACATTTTTTTAAAATATAATATAATTTATGCATCGGATAGATTCATAGGGGTGAGCATCATGCCAGAATCCAAGGTTGACCCTGAACCGACCCGAATCGGCCCAACCTAGTCGATCAAGGTCCAATTCCCAGAGGGATTGGGTCGGTTTTTGGTCTTAGGACCCCTGGACCCTGCATTGTACGGGTTAATCCTTAGTTCTGGGAGTTTAGGGTTCATCAAACCGAACCAACCTTGTATATATTATATATTATATATTTATAGGAATCAGTGCATTGGAAGTTCTAAATTTGTCGCGAAAGTGCAATTGAGCCTTTCGTAACAAGTTTTAGGACTTGATTATACTTTTTGATAGTTTAAGGACTCGATTGCACTTTTGTGATAAATCTTAGGATTGGATTGCACTGCACTTTTTAAAAGTTATAAGACTCAATTGGACCTTCGTGATAAATTTTAGAACTTCTAATACATTTATCCCCATATTATATATTATATAGTTTTGTCTACTCTAAACCCTAGCGCCTCCTCTCTTCTTTCTTATAAAGTTTTGCCGTGTAGATTAGAAAGTAAAAAGAAACTTGGTCCTAATTCAAAAAAAAAATTTATAGAAACCCTTCGCTTGCCTCGCTCACCGTTCGCTAGCCTCGCTCGCCTCGCCAATCGTGTCTCTTCTGCTTGCCTCGCTCGCTTTGCCGCTAGCCTTTATTCACTCGCTTCACATCTGTTATGCGCCTCTGGGCTCTCATCTCTCGCCTCATGAGCGTTGCTCAGCTAGTAAAATTGCTTGCTTCTCTAGGCCTGCCTCACAAGCACAGCTTGCTTACCTCTCTATCCTCACCCCACGAATGCAACTCAACTGGTGAGTTCCCATTTTGTGCTTGATTTGAGAGCTTCAAGCTCATGTGAGTTCTCGATTTATGTTGGATTTTTATTTTTCACTTTCACTTCCCGGTTTGCGCTTGATCTGAGAGCTTCAAGCTATGTGATTTCTCGATTGGTCTTAGGTAGACCTTGAAACCATATCGGACCCTAGGGTTGGTCCAATCCTTGATCTCAGCTCAACAGGATCGGTTCTGGATCCCAAAAATTAGAGACCAACACTGTGCGAGTTGATCTCTGGATTAAGCGCTAGGCCGACTCAACCTATATCATGTTCACTCCTAATATAGAAGAAATATGTTTGAAAACTAATAGGAAATACGCACGCCGATCTTCCAACAATGAATGTGTGTTGAGAAGCTATGCTCTCGAGGTTCTTTAAGGGGTTAGTGAGGGTAAACCCCAACAACGGGCAATTCTAGTGGATCCGGAATGTCATGTGACAGGTGAGGAATGGGGAGTCACTTGTTTTGGTGAATTTCTTAAGACTTTCGCTGCAAAAGTCCAAAATTATTCTAAACGAGTGAATTGTGGGGGTATTCATAGTGAGAGGATCAAAAGATTGTTTTTATGGGATTATGCTATATGGCAATCATGGCATAAGGAATCGACGGTAGATAAGCCCGCCGTGTCTTAAGGGCACATGTGCCGATTACGGGCTGTCGACTGACCGGAGGACATGAGTTGGCACCAAGCCCACTAAAAAGGGTTGGGAAATAAACTTGGCTATGACTAACAAGCCCACCTCCTAGCTCACCAAACCAAAACTCTCTAATACGTCACAACCAAATGAGAATAATCTAGGATCCGGACACATATTCGAGCCATTTTTTCATGTAGAAAATGACACAAAGAATCTCTGAACTTTGGCACAATTTGCAATGTGGTTCTTGAACTGTTAATTTATTTAATATAGTTCATGAACTTTAACTCATTGTGCAATATACTTTATGAACTTTTAATTTATTCAATATTATCCCTGAATTTTTAATAAAGGTTCAATTTAGTCCTGAATTATATGAAGATGTTCAATATAGTCTTTTCATTAATTTAAGTTTGGGATTATATTGAATATTTTCATATAGTTCAGAAACTACATTGAGCATGTACCAAGAGTCTAGGGACCACATTGAACAAATTAAAAATTTAGGGACCATATTAAACATTAAACTAAAGTTCAGAGACTACATTGAATAAATTAGAAGTTCAAGAACCAAATTACACATTGGGCTAAAGTTAATGGACTATTTGTGTCATTATCCCTTCTTCACGAGCACTGTTCATGTGAAGTAAACCCGCAACAAATCCCTGATGATGGTGATTGTTAGTAAATTCGAGAAGCAATATAAAGAATTAAGACATATTACTTCGTGAATATGTACTGACAAAATTATGAATCAACACTGTGTAAGGATATATTTATACCAACGGTATATCTAATAATATTCCTATTACCTATACCATATATAAAGCCAACTTTTTGTTAGCGTCGCTTTTCCATCTCAATATAGGAAACGTGAAGAGAATATTATATGTCATTAATAATTAAGATTCAATATCATTAGGCTCTTACTTAACAAATCATCTATTTTTACAAGCACGTATCCTTACCTTTTGAAATTCATACTAATATTTTCTTCTAAAACTCATCTAAATCCATCTCGAATTGGACACCCCCTATTCGCCTGCCAAGGATCTAGTTGTACACCGTAAAAAAGGACTCAATTTGACAAATTACTTTAACCGATTATTTCCGTAATGAAAGTGAGAATTTTGTCGACCAATTTGGTTTTATTACCCAATATTTGAAACGTTCGAGTACCTGACTTGTCTTATTCAATATTATGGCTAGCGGCGGACCTAAGCGGTCTAGTCCAAGAAACGCTTATTTTTTTAGGTAAAAAAATTTAAAATTTTATATATATATGGCATCTACTTAAAGAAAAATTCGCGTCTCCTAAACTCAATTTCTAGAGAAAATTATAAATAAAAAGGTCATAAACTTATCGCACTTGTGACAATTCGGTCATAAACTTTTCAATTTAGTCAATTTAATTTTAAATCTTTTGACAATTTGCCGATGTAGTCCATCTGGTCAATTTGGGTCGGAAATCACTAACGTGGACATTAGTAGTCCTATGTGACATGATCGGAGTTAACGTGGCTATTTTTTAAAAAAATTATAATTTTTTGTTTTTTTTTCTTTTTTTCCTTTCTTTTCCTATTTTTCCCTTCTTCCTTTGATGGTCGGGTCGGCCACAGGCGAGGGTCGACCTCGCCAACCTCTGGCACAAGTTCAATCTCATGGAAACACTCTGACCTGACCTTTCATGAGATCCGACTGTGGATTTTGTTCACTCACTTAGGATTCGTTTGTTTCACGAAAAATAAATTATTTGAAAAATATTTTCCTAAAATCGTTTATAAAAATAAATAAACGAAAAATATCTTCATCGTTCACAAAATGTTTAAACATAAATCATTGTCGATAATGAAAATATTTTTCATTGTCTAATTATTGCAAGTGATATAAGCAATTATTTTTAAGAAAATGTTTTTCAAATAATTCATTTTTCGAAACAAACGAAGCTTTAAAATTCAGTATATGTTTCCTTCCCTTCTTTGTAGGCTTGGAAATCGTGTGTTTAAATATCCAAATAATGAAGTGCTTAAAGGGTGTATAATTTAAGCCTTTGGGCTTCGAAATGTTGTGAAAACTATAGCAAAGTGCGACCTTTCAAGTGTCAAATAGATTATGAAAGAGCCCCCACCTTCATCATTCACACTTTGTAGAAAACAAAATGTATAAAGTAATTTCCATTTTTTAATAAAAAGTTAATACTCACCTTTTTATAATATAGATGTTTTTCGAACTTTGTAGTAAAAAAAAAGGACAAGTGCATTAAAAGTCTTAAAACTTGTCATGAAAGTGTAATTAAATTTTAAAACTTTCAAAAAGTGCAATTAAATCCTAAAACTTGTCACAAAGTGCAATTGAGAACTAAAATTTTTAAAAAGTATAATTAAGTCCAAAAACTTGTCAACTACCCTAGCAAATCAATAAAAACCTAAAGGCCCGCTAGGTGCATACGAAACGAGACAACCCGAATAAGATAAAAGAAATCGGAATGAACTATGAGGTATTAGAAAAGTAATTAATTTAAAGGTATGGCCTAACTCTTTCATTCTGCTTTTAAGTGACAACCCTTGTACTTTTATGCACATGTTGTGTTCGAACCATTATACTATTGGCACTATATATTTCTCCGATCAGGCATGGTAAACAAATAAATGATTATACTTAGGATCTATTTAGTAACGTTCCCAGAAACAATTTCCATTCAGAAATAGTTTTTTCTATTTCTATTTCGTAGACAAGTTTCTGGGCAAAAAAGCGCATTTAGTAACTGTATAAAATTTCTATTCCCGAAGTAAAAAAAGAACAGAAATGCATTTGGCAGGACACTAAAATTTCTACTCCTAATTTTTTTCATTTAATCATAAAATTGTCAGTGGAGACTTAACAATTCATGTTTGGATAAAATTGAACTAGAAATAGAATAAGAATATGTTATGATATAGAATTGGACGACCTTAATACAATCATAAAGAAAATTACTCCTTATAGATAAAGCAAATACCTAGTGATGGTTGAGGAAATTGCAGCTCATGAGACTTAACAATTCATGTTTGGATAAAATTGGACTAGAAATAAAATAATAATATATTATGTTATAGAATTGGATGGCCTTAATGCAATCATAAAGAAAATTACTTCTTATAGACAAAGTAAATACCTGATGGTGGTCAAGGAAATTGCAGTTTAGGGTGTAGGATTTTAGGATTTTAGGATTTGGGATTAGGGGTTAGGGTTTTAGGATTTTGGTTTTGAGATTTAGGATTTGGGGTTTTAGGTTTTGGATTTTAGGGTTTGGGGTTTAGGTTTTAGAGTTTCGGGTTTAGTATTTGGGGTTTGGGATTTAGTGGTTTAGGGTTTTAGGGATTCGGGTTTTGGCTATTAGGGTTTGGAATTTAGAGTATAAGGTTTACAGTTTAGGGTTTGGGATTTATAGTTTAGGGTTCGGGGTTCGGGATTTTGCAGTTTAGCATTTTAGGATTTAGGATTTGGAATTACGATTTTAGGGATTAGGTTTTAGGATTTCAGGTTTCAAGTTTTTGGGTTTAGGGTAGGGTTTGGGTTTTGGATTTGGGGTTTAGAAGGTTTACGGTTTGACTTTATGGTTTTAGGGATTTGGGTTGTGGGGTTTGGGGTTTTTTATTTCAGTGTTATGAGCTTTAGGGTTTGGATATTAAGGTTTAAGGTTTTGGGGTTTTGGGTTTTAGGGTTAAGGTTTAGGGTTTTAGGGTTTAGGATTTGGGGTTAGAGTAGTATGAGAATATCTTGTGAAAGAAATATAGCTGATCCTATTTTTCTATTGTTTCTTTTTTTTTGTTCTAGAAACAGAAAAGTAGATTTTTTTTTTATTTCTTATTTCTGTTCCAAATCTATTCTTTGACCACTTGTAACGCCTGTTAGTTTATTTATTCCTCGGAACATAAAAGTAATCAGGGAATAGATTTGGAACATAAATAAAAAGTAAAAAAAATCTACTTTTATGTTTCTAGAACAAAAAAAGAAACAATAGAGAAACAAGATCAGCTCTCCCTAAAACCCAAAATCATAAACCTTAACCCTCAAACCCTAAACCCCAAAATTCTAAACCTTAACCCTCAAACCCCAAAACCCTAAACCTCAATATCCAAACCCTAAAACCCATAAAGCTAAAATGAAAAACCCGAAATCCTAAACTCTAAAACCCAAAACCCAAATCCCTAAACCCAAACCTTAAACCTTCTAAACCCAAATCCTAAACCCAAACCCTAAAATCCCAAACCCGAAACACTAAACCCTAAGCCCCAAAATTCCAAACTTGAAACCCTAAAATCGTAATTCCAAACCCTAAATCCTTAAACGTTAAACCGCAAAACCCCGAACCCTAAACCATAAATCCCAAAGCATAAAATGTAAACCCTATACCCTAAATCCCAAACCCCAATACCCAAAACCAAATCCCTAAAACCCTTAACCACTAATCCCCAAACCATAAACCCAAACCCCTAAAATTCCAAACCCGAAACTCGAAACGTTAAACTTAAAGCCCCAAACCCTAAACCATAAAATCCATAATCTAGAACCCAAAACCCCAACCCTAAACCTTAAAGCCGAAATCCTAAAACCCTAACCCTCAATCCCAAATCCAAAAATCCTACACCCTAAACTGCAATTTCCTCGACCACCACCCAATATTTGATTTGTCTATAAGGAGTAATTTTCTTTATGATTATATTGAGGTCATCCAATTCTATATTGTAATATATTATTATTCTATTTCTAGTGCAATTTTATCCAAACATGAATTGTTAAGTCCCCTAAACTGCAATTTCGTCGACCACCACCTGGTATTTACTTTGTCTATAAGTAGTAATTTTCTTTATGATTGTATTAAGGTCATCCAATTTTATATCATAACATATTCTTATTCTATTTCTAGTCCAATTTTATCCAAACATGAATTGTTAAGTCTCCACCGATAATTTTATAATTAAATGAAAAAATTGGGAGTAGAAATTTTTAGTGTCCTACCGAACGCATTTATATTCTTTTTCTACTATGGGAATAGAAATTTTATATAGTTACTAAACGCGTTTTTTTGCTCAGAAACTCGTCTAGGGAATAGAAATAGAAAAAATTATTTCTAAACAGAAATTGTTTCTAGGATCATAAATGTTACTAAACAGACCCTAGCTGACGTTACTAAACGGATTTTTGTTCTTTTTCTGTTCCGGGGAGCAAAAGAACAGAAAACAGAGAAAAAAAAACGTTAATTAACAGGCCCTTAATATCCCATTTTGCCTCCTGTGACCTTCTTAAATTAGCATTGATTTATATTATACTATACAGCACCAATGAAAAGTGACCAGAAAATCTTAGAGACGTTGTGTAGAAACTTCTTCATGATCTTTGATCATCCATATGAGATCCAATCAATTAGAAAATCTAAAAACTATGAAATAGTTGTTTAAGTTTTAATAAATTGACTCCTTATCAAAGGGGTCCATTAGTTATCAAATACAAAATCTATTAAATTATTAATGCTTTGTTGCAGATATAAATAATTTATTCACCCATAGTTTCATACACAAGTATATAAAGGAAATAATTTGTCCGGGAAAGCTAAAGTTTGACAATCTCAAATACTTTCTGCAGCACTCCATCAACATATATTTGCGCATACATTTCATTGTTGTCGCATTGTTCATTCCCTGATTCATAATCACATCATAATGAACAGAATTGACCAATTCAAGTTGTACCGCTCAGAACTCTACTCAAAAGTGTCGTGTCCTAGTTTTAGACATTGCACTAAGATGGACTCTTGGAGTATTATTGGTAATTCATAATAAATAAAATCGACCAATTCAAGTTGTATATGTCGTTCGATCTCAGTTTCTTAGGTATATATATCAGTAAATCAGCGTCCGACTTGCGTGTTAGAGTTTGAGATTTAGCAGAGGATTGATGGTCAATTTGATGTCACACTCCAGATGTTCAAGTCATCCGACTCAGGTCTCATTCACTGAATTAGGGAGTATTTTTGTTTGTGCAAGTGCTCTTACGGTTACTCTTGCATAAGGGTAATTCGGATTGCAACAACATGCATTTTCGAATATTGCAACCAAGTATAATACTATGTTAAGCGAAATGATTGATTTACATGGATAAAGCACGTTTGAATCAACCATCTTAATCTATATAGCTGTTGAGTAAAAATCCCGACCATAAACCAGAAAAATAAAAACAAGCCATTATTTTTCAAATGCAAACTCCTCCCCAAACTACGTCACTGCGCTGTGCAATCCGTGGCCATGAACGACACCTTCTTCTTCCGCACATCGAACCCGACCTTGAACCCCATCTGCGCGAAGTTTCCGAGTATCCCCACTTTGTCCATTGGCTTTATTGTGACGCAAACCAAATCCTCTGCGAACTGCACGAATGTACTAACTGTGTTCAGCGCCATATCAGCGCGGCCTGCGAAATGCAGCGTCACAACTGGCACATCGATCTCACCACCCGGGCTCCTGTAGCAGAGGTCGAGCTCGCCATGGGGGTCTGGGACTCTCGGCAAGCGGATGGCCTTGGTTATGGCACTCTCCAGGTTGTCGAACAATTGAGACGGCATGAACGTCAGGGACGTCCCGGAGTCAATCAACATCTTCACGACTTCGTTGGACTCCTTGGCTTCTGAGCCAGCGGAGTTGTCGCCATATGAGAATCTCGTTTTTCCGACGCTGAAGCCTTCTAGGCTCACAAAGTAGAGGTCGAGGCCTATTGAGACAATAGGTGTCGAGATGGCACCCCGGCCAGAGACCACAGCGTCCTCGCCGAAGCAGATTTTGCTCGTGCCTTTTCCGAACTCTGGGACAAGGCAATAGCCGAATTGGCCACCAATGGCGCCCTCTATTTGGGAGATCAGCGAAATGGGGCGACTGCCGCCGAGACCGATAATGCCCGAACTGGTGTTGTCGAAGACCCCACCGTTGTCGTAGCCGCACCCGAACGCTATCCTCGGGAGGGTGATCGTGCTGCCGGGGGGTGTTCCAATCCTAAAGGTCTCCACGGCCAAGTCACCACTTGTGAAGGACTCGTCACCGTACTTGTAATAGTACTCGCATGTGCGTCCATCATCGCCGCCGCACCTGGCCCCGTCTAGGGACTTGCACAACCCCGTGCGGCACTGGACGGTTTTGTACGTGGAGGAATTCCGCGGGTTGAAGATCGGCGGCTTCTGGCGGTAGCATTTAACGCAAGGCTCGCACTGAGTCCACAAGAGATCGCTCCCCGTGTCAACCATCAGGAACGTCTCGAGGGGAGGCGACCCGATCAACACCTTCATGTAGTATGCACCATCGCTGTAGGTCATCTCGGATTGGATATTCGAACTATGTCCAGCCCAGAGGCGATGGGCGCGCGATATCGAGCGCCGGGCCGCGCCACGCATGCGATCAGAGTGCGTGATGTAGGGGTCATGGAACGGCGAGGATGGGGAATCGCGGTGTATCAGGTCAGCAGTGAAGCCGCCTCTGCCAAAGGCGGATTCTACGAGACAGAAGAGAAGGACTAGGAGGGCAAAGCTGCGAAGAGGATGTGAGGGCGTGGCCATGATGAGTGATGCTTAGAAGTTATTTGGATGTTGTGCGTGTCAAAGAGGGTTTATATAAAAGTAGATTGGTTCACTGGAGAGAGGGAGAGACGCGTGGAAGGACAAACTTCGAAGAAGATGGTGAGAAAATTGTTGTTGGCAAGGGATAAGGGAACCCTTGATTTATCAGGGAAGTCCATGACTTCTCTTCCTGGAAAGAACCTGGTTTCTGCGTGAAATTCAGCCTCTGTGTCTCTCGTCAGCCGGTGAGTGAGCCATATAAAAGTAGACACCATGCACATGCACAACATACCCATAAACTTGCAGATTCCCCTCTTTCTTCAATACAGGTAATAAATCCAAGATGCATAAATAGGCTGGGTTCTTTTAATGCGCACCGCAAGGTCAAAAGCCAATAAATATCTGCAGAGGATGAGAATGCCAATGGAAAATTAACGCGGAAACTGACAGGCAGAACCTTGCAGTTTAAGTCGACGCGGAATCACCGTAGGAATGAACGAGGAATAATAAAGGGGAAGGAGATTTATCTGGTTCGGTTCGAGTACCAAAACCTATATTCACAATATAATATGTAGAGTTATAATCTCTCGTAAGCTCGAATATTTTTTACACTTAAATTACAGTCGAACCCAAAATGTTTTTAGCTGTGCAAAAGGAAAAAAAGAAAATCAAAATACAAAACCCTTTGATTTTATTTTGTTTTTCTATTTCTCACCACTTCCTGACCCCACACGTTTACTTTTGTAAGGCCAAGAAAGGGAGTGCGCCTTCGCAACACTCCACCATCTCGGCCAAACTTGGATAAATATATCTCCAACAATAAAGAAAAAACAAACGCGCAAAGTCCTCCGATCAAAGAAACCGAAGACCCATCCAAATACGTGTGCCCCCTTCATTAATCCACGTAGGAAAGTGGATTTCTTGGGTTCCTCACATGAGCTCAAACCCGATACATAACTTAACAGAATTGATTTGGTCATTAATGTTAAGGTTAATTGATAGGAATTGAAGATATACAATCGATGCACATATGCAATCAATCGAGTCCAAGCAAAACTGTATATTGTAGATTCCCAGTTAAAATGGTGAACCGACTTTCTTTGCCCCATTCAGAGGTCAAAAACTTGTCCTAATTTCTCTTAGCTATTTCGCAACATCCTAGATTAACTCATTTGATGTATTGTTGGCTTCGACCCATTCCACATCGAAGCTCACGATTTTGCCCTCTAACATACAAGTAGGCAATTTCCCAAAAGATTACCCGTTCTAGTAACGCTCTCATATTACGTCCCCTTGTATTTCTTCGTCTCACCTTCAAATGACATCATCTTGTAGTCTCTCCAAAATCACTTGTATCTTGCAAACTTTGTATCACTTCGGATCATTTCATCTTGTAAGTCTCTTTATCAATTCAAAGATTGCCCATCAAATCATGGTTGGTTTAATCATTTTGTGATCCAGTTAACTCTCCCTTGTGGATAGTTAGATCTATTTTATTTATTTAAATATCAAAGGGATCACTATTGAGCGCGGATAGTTAGATCTCTTTCTTTTATTTAAATATCAAGGGGATATCCCTTGAGCAAGGACTACTGGATAGCCACATTTTAATCTTTTTCATTAGTTTAAGTACCAAAGGAATCTCCTTCGAGTGCGGACTATCCTTGTGGAAGGTCACATTGCATTTTTATTAAATTTACTATACCACACTTAAATGCGGACTACCGCCCTTGTGGATGATTTTAATCTTCTAGTTTTATTTTGTTCTTATGAATTATTTTAGTTTCATTTTAGTTAATATCTTGTCAATTTTTATATCGATTGAAAAAATATTAATCACCACAGAAACCACCTACGAATTTACGATTGAACCTTGAAAATCTTCTACGTTAATCTCTTTTTTTTTATATATTCTGAAGACACTATTGGTATTATAAAATATACATATATATATTATATTTGCATATTCTCCCCTATAAGAGATTCTTAGAAACTTGACACCTAGGCTGTAAATAGTTAGAGCTACCTTCTCCTCATTGCAAGAATTGTTTTTGATGTATTCTCCGCAAAGTAGATTGCTAGAGAACAATAGCTCTTGCATGTCTATAACTATAAATTTAAGTGTCAAATGATTCTTAAGGACCCATCATAAGACTGACAGAAATTGAGATTGAACGATAGATACAACTTGAATTGGTTGATTTTATTTATTATGAATTACCAATAGTACTCCAAGAGTCCATCTTAGTGCAATGTTTAAAACTAAGACACGACGCTTTGAGTAGAGTTCCGAGCGGTACAACTTGAATTGGTCAGTTATGTTCGTTATGATGTGATTATGATTTAGTGAAGGAACAATGTGACAACAATGAAATGTGTGCCCAAATATATGTTGATGGCGTTCTGTAGAAAGTATTTGAGATTGTCAAACTTTAGCTTTCCCGGACAAATTACTTCCTTTATATACTTGTGTATGAAACTATGGGTGAATAAATTATTTATATCTGCAACAAAGCATTAATAATTTAATAGATTTTGTATTTGATAACTAATGGACTCCTTTTTTTTTTTTGATAACCCAGGAAACCCCCCGCACAGCCGACAGCCGAAGGGGTAAACCTGTGGTGACGCTAGCGCAGGATCCACCACCACGGCGCCACACTTAAGAATCCCTAACACCTACGCACTAATGGACCCCTTTGATAAGGAGTCAATTTATTAAAACTTAAACAACTATGATTTCATAGTTTTTAGATTTTCTAATTGATTGGATCTCATATGCATGATCAAAGATCATGAAGAAGTTTCTACACAAATTGTATCTAAGATTTTCTGGTCACTTTTCATTGGTGCTGTATAGTATAATATAAATCAATACTAATTTAAGAAGGTCACAGGAGGCAAAATGGGATATTAAGTATATTCATTTATATGTTCACCTCGCCTGATCGGAGAAACATAGAGTGCCAATAGTACAAGGGTTCGAAAACCACATGTACATAAAAAGTACAAGGGTTGTAACTTAAAAAGCAGAATGAAAGACTCAAACCATACCTTTGAAAATAGGGACATTAATTATTAGCATATTTTAGAAAATCAACCGATTGAGTTAGGTGATATGACGTGATCATTGGGGTTTTGGAGAGTCACTAACCACTTTGATTAAAGATCAAAAGAATGGATTCGAGGAGATGATCTTTTTATTTTTATCTTAAAATTTCTACCAAAAAAAACATTTTTTAACAAATTTTATTACTTAAATTTAATTCATCATTTATTGATGCAATTAATTTTATATGTTCACGATATACTAACAATAATCTCTTGCTCGTCGAATTTGCAACAAAAAAAAAAACTGGATTCTTGTGAAAGAATAATATCCTCCATCGATATCCTGTCTCTTCGGTTTTTTTTATATATGTCTCTCTTGATTCTTGAAAATATAAAAAAAAAAAAAAAAAAGTCGTAGATTGTTATCCAATGCCTTTTATTTGTGTGTTTTTTCATCTTGAACTTTTCTTTGGTTTATAGCGAAATTGTCAGCTTTTTTAATCCAATTTTATTTCTGGCCTTGACTTTGTTATATCACTTTCCCTCTCTAGAAATGAAGAGACTTTTCTTACTTCTCCAGAAATGGGATGAGTCTAACAAGAAAGATGAACACGAACTCTTTGGGAAAAGTGCCAAAAAAGTCCTAAACCTTTTGCATTAGTACCAATTTAGTCCTAAACCTTTTTTTGGTGTCAATTCAGTCCTAAACCTTTTGCATTGGTGTCAATTTAGTCCTAAACCTTTTTTTGGTGCCAATTAAGTCCTAAACCTTTTAAATTGGTGCCAATTCAGTCCTAAACCTTTTATTTTTGTGCCAATTTAGTCCTTCCGGCCAATTTAGACCGGAATTTGCTTACGTGGACGCCTGCCGGCCGGCGGCCGGTCATCGGCGCCGACGTGGACAACTTTAATATTTTTTTAATATTTTTTTGAATTTTTATTTTTTTCCTTTTTTTTCTTTTTTTTTCCACTTTTTTTTTGGTTGTCTTCCTCCTTCCTCTGGCCGGTCCGGTCCGGCGACCGACCAGAGGCCAGAGGCCGGCGAGATCGAGCTCGCCGGTCACTGGCGAGGGGGGCCTCGCCCGGCGAGGGCGAGCCTCGCCTTGGTCGGGCGAGGCTTGAGCCCTCGCCGGAGGCTGCGGCGAGGGCGAGCCTCGCCATGGTCGGGCGAGGCTCGACCTCGCCGGATCTGGCGAGGTCGGGCCTCGCCCGACCAAGGCAAGGCTCGAGCCCTCGCCGGAGGCCGCGGCGAGGGCGAGCCTCGCCTAGGTCGGGCGAGGCCCGACCTCGCCAGATCCGGCGAGGTCGAGCGTCGACCTCGCCAGATCCGGCGAGGTCGAGCCTCGCCCGACCAAGGCGAGGCTCGAGCCCTCGCCGGGCGAGGCCGCCCTCGCCAGTGGCCGGCGAGCTCGAGCTCGCCGGCCAGAGGAAGGAGGAAGACAACCAAAAAAAAAAGTGGAAAAAAAAGGAAAAAAAATAAAAATTCAAAAAAATATTAAAGTTGTCCACGTTGGCGCCACGTCGGCGCCGGTGACCGGCCGCCGGCCGGCAGGCGTCCACGTAAGCAAATTTCGGTCTAAATTGGCCGGAAGGACTAAATTGGCACAAAAATAAAAGGTTTAGGACTGAATTGGCATCAATTTAAAAGGTTTAGGACTTAATTGGCACCAAAAAAAGGTTTAGGACTAAATTGGCACCAATGCAAAAGGTTTAGGACTGAATTGGCACCAAAAAAAGGTTTAGGACTAAATTGGCACTAATGCAAAAGGTTTAGGACTTTTTTGGCACTTTTCCCCGAACTCTTTGATCACACTTGAGTTTCTAAATCAACGAGTCCAATTGTATTATCTTCGTTTAAAACTACAATATTTAATATGTGTTTTTTTAATCTTGGAATTTTTAGTTAATAGGCTATAAATTGAAGTATATCCAAGTTAATACAACGAAAA